CTAGCTAACAACCTGCCAGACAGCTCTAAGCAACGGCTTCTTGTAGCCAGCAGAATCCGGTTAAAAAAACACCTCCAGCCGGAAGGCTGAATGGCAGGGGTCTGCCCATACGGACAGATTCGGGGTAAAACTGAGCTCTTGATGCAGATCCTTTTCTGCCTAGAGCCACTAACGCCAGGTTGTTTTTGAAACACGCAGGTGGTTTTTTGTGCTGACTTGCTCTTTTGCCAGGATTTATGGTTGCCCAAGCTGGGGAATGCAATTCTTGTTTTGTTTCAGATTCGGGAAGTTTTGGGGATTGGTTGGCTCGCCTTGGCTCGCTAGGCTCCGGCGAGGACGACACGGATGAGGAGGCGCAGTGCAGAACGGCCGTTGTCGGCCGCACGGCTTCGCGATCCGCCTGCCCGGGGTTTTGAGGTCTACCCCCGAATTAAGAGCCTTCTGGAAGGTCTTTTCCTGGAGAAGATGGATGGCAAAGAAGAGCAGGAAGGAAAAGAGCCTTCTCCAGAAAGGTGCTTGGTTTTCATTTGTGCAAGAAGAACATTGGATGGCAAAGGGTGGATTTTTCCGTTGCAAAGGGCAACGAACAATCAGCGAATTGACGTGGGTGGTGGTTGCAGACTGGACATGTCAGGAATTTTTGTCGAGATTCCCCTACGTCTGGAAATTGGCGGGAAGTTGTGGGCGTAGTGGCATTTCCGGTGGCTGAGTCGTGGATCTTCCACAGCAGTGTTCATGCTGGAGAAAAAGAAGGGCTCGGATTCCCATCATGACTAATGGGGTCCCCTGTAGTGGGGGCATTTAGAGGACAGACCCCCTATGAATAGGACGGGTTTATTCCGGGGTCGGATTCATTTGGTGCTGTTGGCATAGGGCCAATATGATACCCAGAATCCCACGCTTTCAGCAAGTCGCACAGGGGTGCGCAAAAGAGAGACGCGACATGTTCAGGTTCGGACTTCAGGAAAAAAGGTTGTAAGTGCGTCAATGAACGCACGCGCATGCAGCCAGCATCTGACAACTCCAAATGGAAACCAGGAAAGAGACCGATTTCAGAAAAGTCTGGAAGCGCCCCATCGTGAAATCCAGCAACCTTTCCCCAGGAGCTGGATCCTTGGTGGACACGGCAGCCTTGAGGGGATCTTGGACCCTTGGGGTGCGCGTCCCACTTTGTGGGCTACATGTGGATAGCCTTTTTGAACACGGAAACCAGCTTCTCCCCACGTTAGCCATGGAAAGTGTCAGTTTCTTGGGTTTTTCTCCCTCAAAGCCGGTGGCCCAAATTGGAGCGCTTACGGCTCTCTCGGTTGGCATGGGAGGTCTGGCCACATCTGCGGTTTTCGTCTCAGCTGAGGACATAAGCCGTTTGACGCACGTGGAGTTGGTGAACACCACTTCATTGGGCTTCTCCCGGTAGTTGGGCGTTTTTCAATCTCCCTTTCCCCCTTCCATTTGAAAGGGTTCCCGTATTCTTGGATACACCGATTCGAAGCCTAGGATTTCTATCCTGTTTTCTGGGCAGTCTAAGGTTCAACAAAGGCTGCGTACCCTGTATTCTGCATGCCCAAAAACGGCCCTCGGTTTTCTTTCAACGTTGCTCCGAACCTCAAAACAAGGAACACACCACCTTGATTCAAGCTTAGCTTCCATCACTTCCCTTGCAACCAGCAAAACGTTCACTTCGTTTTCTTACAATCCGGGACCCCCGAAAATGGTTATGTAGCTCCCTGTGGATTCCCTGTAGATTCACTCCAAAAGGGGTGCCCTCAAAAAGACACGCCAACTTTTTGCCGGGAGTCTAAGCCCGGATTCTGCGAATCCGGTTTCACCAGGCGGCCGCAGTGTCGCGGCAACGTAGCAAAGGCGGGGAGTGCAGGGGTTGGATGCGAATCCAGCCGAGGTGGTTGCTGGATGTTTGGTCGTTTGGTTTGCACTTGTCTGGCATACCGTGTCTTTTTGGGTCGCAAAGTGCGGACCATTTTCTCTCAGACTGCATGCTGCGGCGGTCACACCTGGCACTGGAACAGTGGAGCCTATGGGTTTGCACTCTGAAATGGTCCTGGTTCCTCTCTGCGAGGTTCGGACCATGCCTTTGATTCTGTAGTGAGGGCAATGAGCATCCGAGTGCTTTGTCGCATTTGGCATCATTGGCAAAGACCTCCAGCCTTTCTGGCATCAATGCTCAGGGCAAGAACCCAGTTTGTCGTGGTCGGTTTTTCGGCCTGCTTGGCTTTGTTTGGTTTATGATCGGCTGGCACAAGCCCGTTGATTCGCACTCACCACCTGTGTGAGAAAAACGGTGTTAAGCCCAATGCTCTTTTTGCTTTGTCTCCTAGTGGATTCAGCGAAGGGACGCATGCTGAGGTCCTTTCATTTTCTACGAAGCTGGGGCGAACATCCGCCATGGGCCATTATCATAGCCATGTGTGTCACTATTTAGCTTTTTACAGTACATAAGTTGGAAGGGTCCCCTGAGGAGCAGCCTGAAGAGAGGTACATTTCGTTGAACGGCACCATTCCAGCCTATTGTGGTTGAGTCATCCCCTGTGTCATCTACTTTCACCCCTCCCCCAATTATTACAAGGGGTCTACTCTCCGTCTGGGAGCCTGATTGAATCGACAATGGGTCAATGTTCGGGCTCCAATCTAGGATGATACCATTGCCAGCGCGAGCGGAATCAGCATCACACAAGCGCTCAAGTAAATGCCGCACATTATTTTATTTGCAAGGATGACAAAGCCCATGGGGTGTTTCCTGTTTCAGGGTACCCTTTTGGGAGTGAACACAAAACCGAACTCCATTTCGGGGTTCCCAAGACACGAGCCACGCGACACGTCGCGAGCTTTCACCCTGCCAGGTATCGCCCGCTCCTCCCGGAGCTCCTCTGCCGCGTGCCCAGAAACGCAGAAAATTCCGCCCTGTTGGTTGCTTGTTTATTTTTGGGCGGGGGGTCTTTGTTGTTGGTCGCATTTTTTTTGTTGGGGGGGCGGGGCGTGGAAAGCAGGCCCATCTCATATTTGAGAGTTACAACTTTCCCGGTTTTCGGTTGGTGCGTTGGAACCCCAAAAAGGACAGCTATGGGGAAGGGAGGTGCCTTCGGACCTGGGATCGCCGGTCACGTTTGCGTCGATTTGCTTCCATCGGCTTTGCCTTTAAACAAGGGTTTTGGCCCCCCCCCCCTCCCCCACGTTGAGACACACAAACAGCCCAATACTCTTGTTTGGGAGGATCGTTTGGCATGGATGCAACCAACTGGGCAAATACATCCATTGTGTGAAGAATCAAGATCCTGTTGACCAGTGACACATTCTTCCCTGCATAGTTTGGGGGCTTCCCAACGCAAGAAGGTCAACCCAAATAAAGGTTCCCTTCTCATTAGGGACTCTGATCAACTCGGGAAGATGTTCAGACGTTTCATGGCCAATCCATCCCGCAAGTTGAGACAGGACTGTTTTTTTTTCAACCAAGGGGTGAATCAAGCGCAGCTGAGCTGTTTAACTGCATCCCTTGCTCCCCTCTGAAGCGCGTCCTTGTTCTGGCTAGGTGAGCTGTGCAGGCGGATGCGATCCATTGGGTTTCGACTTGGGCACCGCACGGATGTTTGTACGTGGAACCCCAATAGCACAACCCACTTTGGGATGAACGTTCACCTCCTGGGGATATGGAGGTGGATGTTTTGTGCGCGCTCGTGACCCCGAAGCAAGAAGAAAACCGCCACGTTTGCCCACGTCCTCTTGAACTATGATGCTATAGTCCCATTCTCATATGATTTTTGGCAAACGGATCCCAGAGTCCTCTGAGCAGACAAGCCTTACCACAGGGTTGCTCCGCTAAAGCACCGACCTTTGGGTAGACAATCGGGTTGAGGGTGTTTTCTTTTTTTTGGTTTATCAAGGGGCCAACGTTCTTCGTAGCAACGAAAAAGGTGTATCATCAATTTTCCCTTGGGCATAGCGTTTGGGTGTCACAGAAAGGGCTACATCATTACACACACACACATTGTTCTTTAAAGTACCCCGGCAACCCCAATGCAACTATCAATTGGCCCACAGCTTTTGTGTTCTCGTAGAAACTCGCGTGGTGAAATCCGGAGAAGCCACGAATTGCCACCCCAGCCACGGATTCTCGTGGTTCGTCGATCGAGGCCTCCAAGGAGAAGATCCCGGTGGACGAGCTGCGACTTGCCCAAAGCGTGGGGGAACGAACTGGCCCCAAAAGGTTTCGTGGTTTTTTCGGGGGGTATTTTTTTTGCGGTGTATGGGCCCAGGTGTTCCAAAGGTTTCTCTCAGTTTTCGGCGACCCTTTTTGGGTTCCGATGTGGTTCGGTCAAAAATGGGGTAACCCCAAAATGGGTTGCCCTGGTAAATGGAACCCATGACGAAAACCTGCGGTCCAATTCCTGATTTAATTTTGACCCACACCCATTTAAATCATTTGGTTCGTGGCCTGGAGATCGCCCAATGGCTGAGGCAAGCCTACAGCGTCTCCGTGCGCTCCACGCCCTCCGTGTCCCACGCGGCGGTGCGCCTCGGGCCCTCGGGCCTCGGGCCTCGGGGGAAGAAGGGCTGTTTTTTGGCGTCAAGGGAGTTGGAGCCCCGGAACGGAGGGTGTCAGGGTTCCACTTTTGACCCCATAGACTTAAAGCCAGGGGTGGTCCATTTCCAAAAGGAGAACCCCTTGGTTTAGGTCCATGGGGTCGTCAAAAAGCGGCACCCTGGATGGTGTTCCTTTTGATTCCCGTTCAAGCCAAGCATACTTGCCCAAAGCAAATTCACCGGATCCGACTTTTTTGGACTTCCCCCTGTTGGCCTTTTTTTCCTTTCCGTCCCTGTTGCCCAAAAGGTGCTCGCCTTTTTTGCGTTTGTGGTGCAGGGGCGTTCGGTTTGCTTCGTCCATTGATCAGCCTCGGGCTTCTCCGGCCTTGGATATGTCGGTTTCGCTTAAGACGGAGCGAAGCTCGGCCCGGCGGGTGGGTAGGGCCTTCAGGTCCCGTGGGTTTTTGGTCCAGGTGACGGAGCAAAGATTGAGGAGCGGAACTTAGCATGGTTGTTGGAGAACATTTTGCATTTTTGCTTATTGTGGTTTAGTGGGAAATCCCCCACTTAACTGCTGAAATCTATTTTTTGTTGATCCCCTTCCAAGGTCAACCAAGTTAGGTTGCAACTTGGCGGTTTTCATAGGCAGACGGATTCATGACGTCCCTTAGCAAGGGATCCATGAACTGAGTCTGAGTCAACAGGCACCACATGTCTACCTCATTTTGCCAGGGTCCTGGGGGCAGCTTGATATGGCAAGATCAACACGGTGAGCCAAAGATTTCGACCAGGAGCCATGGCTTACTGGCAATCTCTTTGCCCTGTTTGTCTCACATGGGCCGATTTTGGTCCCGGGGTTTTCCCTGAAAGATCGACCCTTATTGTATTGGAGTATGCTACAATACTTCCCCCAAATGAATTCGGGGCAAACGTACCACCATGAATGAAACCAGCATGACTTATTTTCAAAAGGGATGCAGATAGAATTATGTTCGCTTCACGAGCAAGTTATCTGGCAGCGACAAGTATGACTAAGAGTCAACCAACCCCTACTGTCCGATAGTTCCACATATATATATATATACCCTGGGTAGAAGCCACAGAAGGAGACGCATCCAAGCACCATGGCAGATTCCCCACCCCCCCCTTCCCCCCCAAAAAAAAGAAGAAGAAAAGAAACCACAGCAACAACCAAAAAAAACAAAACAAAACACACGCCAAAGGACGGCCGGGCCCGCACCAGGTTTGGGGTTGGGACCAGCCCAATGAAGCTACCAGGCCTGAAAATGGGCGAGTCTCTCTTAGAGGGGGAACCCCTCTTCGGTATGTTTGAAGGAAAGGTGCCTCCGCAGTTTTTTTTTGGAGCTGAGCTTGTGAAGTGTGGAGGTACCCAGCTTTGCCCACACCCTTGCGGTGGGTCACGGTCGCACTCGACACGCGGTCAACGACAACGAGGCCAGCGCTCGCCAAGAGTCCAAGTCATGCACGTCGGGGTGGGACCCTCTTGTTTTGTTTTACATGCTGAGGTTCGCTAAAGGTGGACGAGAATCAAGCATGTTTTTTTGGTTGGGGGGCAAAAGCTAAGGCAGCTAAGGTAGGCTTGGAATCATCTGAGCAAATCGATGCCAACACTGCAGAGAAAGCCTGCAGGATCCCTGTGCATGAGCGGCTTGTAAGGGCCTTACAAGCAGAATCCAAAGAGGTGTGGTCTTGAGGCGTGGTTTAAACCCTTGCTACTTCAGCTGGAATGCTCCCACCTCCAATTTTCCTCACATTGGTTGCCTTCATTGATTTTCACTTCAGTTTCTGGTACTGGTCATTTGAAGAACAAGTCTGAACGCTGACCAATCAATTCCGGAAGTTACCCATATGTTTCGCCTCGCAGGTGCCTGGGACCCTGGGACACCGGGCAATAGACCATGCCAACTAAGCACGGTGTGCTGGGATGGCATGGGGCATCCACTCCGAAGAAATAAAGTAAACAACAACAACACGTTGAAGCAAAACAACCTCATTTATGGCCCCCGCCCCCAAAAAATGGGACACACTGGCCGGGGTTGGTCCAAAGATGTCCTGTCCTCTTCGTTCCATTCCGCACGTGGAGTCCGCGAGATAGTGGCTGGGGAGGATTTGTGTTGGGGCCTGAAATGCCCTTGTATAACCATTTTGGGTACCATTTGACAGCCAGCCCTTGGAAGGTCCAAGTTTCTGCCACGTGTCTGGAGCCCTGCTTCTCCAGCCCGGTTTTTGGTTTGTCTCTTGGCTCTTGGTACGTGGGCCAACAAAGGCAGGCAAGGGGGGGTAAGGCAGAAGCTGACACTTGGGAACACGTTTGGAGAGTCACAATTTCGGAAGCACCCAGTTTTGGTAGCCCATATGTCATTTAATTTTACTTGGCCGTGGCTTGGGCTTGAACCTCTTGCCTAGAATCATGTTTCGGTGCCACGCAACCTCCAAACCAGCGGGCCCCATGGTAGGGATCAGCATGGAGCTCATAGGAATGTTGAATTTTGCCTACATTTGGCTATGAATTTTGGTAGGGAGCCACCTCAAAACTGGTTGGTTGACATGACATCTCCACCTAAATGATGTCCACCAAGGGTCCCCCTTTAGATTCACATTCGCATAGGTACGACGACTTCCTCTGTTGCAATAAGCTCCTTCCAGGATTGGTGGCTGGTCATCATCTCACGTTCACGAATGAGCGATCGACGGGAGGTTGCAGACCTTCCCTATAGACACTCACACACACAGCATCCCCCAAAACACACCAGGCTGTGGGTCAAAAAAGGTACCCAAAATGGAGCTCTGGTGAATGGAAACATGGACTAAAACCTGTCCCCCAGTGGTTTAGTTTGGACCCACATCCACTTTGAAGACCAACATCGACCAAGACGCAGCACGCTAAACGCCAGCAGGTGGCCGCAGCCTTGGTGAGACACCGCCGGCAGTCGATCGGCCCTGGGGACGCCCGGCGGCCCAAGAGGCCCAGAGAGGCACGGCACGCCCAGAGCGGCCGCTGGTGGGAGCTGTTTGCCTTTTCGTCTTTTTCCAAAAGATGACAAGAACGCTGGTGTCCCTTTTAGCCAAAAAGCTGTCGCGCCTGGTGGCGTGTCCTTGACAAAGCGCTCTTGTGTCCCTTTAGAAACAAAAAGTTTCGGCGAACAGCCCTTGGTTGGTGGTTTGGAGCCCTGGTTCTTGAGAGGGTAAATGGGAAGCCAGCCCTGAACCAAACCACCGGGCTCCAAACCACCAAGTAGGGTGAACCTGCACGTCGAGTCTTTTTGCGGAGTCTGACGGCCACGGCAAAGGCTGGGCCGGGGTTGCCGGCAAGGTGTTCCTTTGGCCTGGAGAAGCGTTACCCACGTTTCTACCCGGAGAGAATGTCAGGGTTTCGCAGGAGGCACTGATGGGCTCTCAAGGCAACACCAACCCCTTTTGTCTTTGGAATGGGTTTTTGAGGGAGCTTTCAACAGGCTGATGCCACGGTTGCGGGGACAGGAATCAGCTTCGTACTCTTTGGTTCCAACCATGTTGTTTCAAGATTTGGGGTTTCCGTGTGTTTTGAACAGACCCAACTCTTCCTGCCACCTTCCCAAAAAGGGGGTCAGAAGGCTAAACGGGGGGGGGGGGGGTCACTTTGATGTTTCCAAAACCACCACGCCGGTGCCAAGGACCACTTGGTCATTCCCATCATCCACCAGCCGCCGGAGATCGAAGAGGCCCGCGCTTGTTGCCCGGAGCGGGGGAAGCTTTCGGGGCGCGGATCTTGCCTTTCCCTGGTGGGTCTCAGGTCCTTTGGGCTTTTTGGAGACCATCAGATTTCGGAAGGTTTTGGGAGTCAGCTCTTTTCTGGCACGAGCCGGGCGACTTGTGATAGAGCAGGCAGGGAACCCCTGGTCATAGGTCAAACATACAGCCATTATGTATCCAGTATCCGATCTGTATGGCAGGGTCCGCTCGAACTCATTTCAACATGCGTTTTTGAGCCGAAAGGAGGGGAACTGTGGTGCCTAGTCCTCACCAAGACAGCGAGCCTCACGTAGCCTCATAGCCACCTGCAAAGGCAGCCTTAGAGAATGGTCCGCGGAGCCTTCTTGTAGCCTCTTTCAGTTCACCCCAGGCACAGCGTTTTGGCTTTTGTTCTGGACAGACAACATGCTCTCCCAGGAGAGAGAAACTAACAGGAATTTGCGAGTTCTCAATTGGCTGAGGTTTGGACCCGGGTTTGCTTGTATAGGCCACCGAAAGCTTGGGAGGGTTCGCGTTGCCTGAGGGCTACCAGCGCGCACTTGAAAATCTCAAGCACGGTATCCAAACGGGGCATGCGTCTTGTCAAGGTGGGCTGTCAAGCAAAGCCATCTCCACCCCTCCCCCCTCCCGCTCGACGCCTTCTGCAACCTGCGCAGGCCAAAAAGCCCGGGGCCCAGTCAACCTGGCAGCTCCCATCCCCGCTTAGGGGCTTCGACTTTGAGGCTCTCCCCCCACGTGGAAACGGAGACTTTCTACATGAGAGTTTTCTTGGTGGCTCCCAGCCATCCCCTTAGCCTTTGAGCCTTTTAGTGTTTAGTGGTAGTTTCCGTTCAACCCACTGAAAGTTAAACTTTTAGCGGGGGATCTGAGGGCAGCTCAGATTTCTAGATCCCCCGGAAAAAAAACACATGCCGGAGTGGGGTCGCCTTCCTTTTGGAAGGGTGGTCAAACTCATCGGGATGCATCACCATTGATCTCCCGCAACAGGCTGCGGAGTCCTGACAAAAAGCAAAGCTCAAAGCCCGCAGTCGAATAATTGGATTTTGCCCGGAAGTGGCGCTGTAGGCGCGTTCTCAGCTGGAATCCGGAATCCAGCGCAATGACAGCTTTTCTTCAAAGCTTTGGTCAGTTTCACGCTTTTTGTGATCCATGTTTCCAAACCCACGACCACTGGATGATTCACAGATTTCTCCCGCCATCGGGTTTTTGGGAGGAAGCACTCCAATTTCTGTTGTTATCTTAGGAAGTTGAATTAGGACCCTTTTCTGTGGGGCCCCCTTTGAAGTGACGAAGTAGTCCTAAGGAAAGGGTTGCCCTCTTCCTCGAAAATGGGGCTACGAATCCAAATATAGCTGGTTACTGTCCCTACACTCAATATTGATACGAATTTACCACTATGCGATACAATGTACTACTATAGTACACTCCCCAAGACTACCATGGAAGCTCCCGAACGGACCCCTTGAGACTTGGTTCCGTTTGCACGGCCAATTGGGGGAGCTTCCAGCTGTTAGTGAGGGGTGTAACTACAAAGACAGCACACAACGTTGACCCCATATTAATCAACCCCAGTTGAGTAATAGAGGGGTATTTTCCTCCAAAAAGTGTCTGACTCCCACCAAACCCAGGAAGAAGCACCCCCCAAACAAACTGGGGTTGATTAAGGGTCAACAAACACACTCACTACTCTCACTAAACACCAAAGATATGATTTCTTGCCTTGATGCTATTGGGTTGGATCTTTAGACTTTAGGTTTTTGGAAAATACAGGGGTTTTCCACTAAACCCCAAACAAGTTATTCACTTTTTGCAGGGGGTCAACAGCAACCAGGTTGCTGGGGTCCTAATTCCGGGCAGGCAACGATGACATGGCTATGGGTCAAAATTAGACCACCAGGAATTGGACCGCAGTTTTTAGTCCCTTCCTTCTACCAGGGCAACCCATTTTGGGGTTGCCCTATTTTTGACCCACAGCCTGGTGTTTTTTGCCGGATGGATGCTGTGTTTGAGTGTTCTCTTTGGAAGGTCATGGCCATAAGATTTCTTGCTGGGGTCCTAATTTCAGGCAAGCAACGAGGACACATCTTTTGGGTCCCCATTTTTGACCCACACCCAGCTGCCTCACGTGGGTGTGGCACATGTTTGACCCCAAAGGACCGCAGATTTTAGTCCATGTTTCCTTCTACCAGGGTTCCATTTTGGTGTTTCCTTCTTTTTGACCCGACGACGACACGTCGAAACTTCTGCGTTCCTCAGGTCCGAGGAGAAGTCCGAGGAGGTCACTGCCGCCGTGTCCGCGCGGCTCTCCCACCGGGGCGTGCTGCGGGGCAGCTCGCGCCGGGGATCCGCCGGGCACCCAGGCGCCCAACGGCCCTTCTCTCACTCCCTGAGTTCATGAACTTTAAACTTTTTGGGAGGACCATTTTAGTGGTACAGAAAAAGTTTGGACTTTTTTTGGGCCATCCACTCAGCCAGTGAGTTCTTGGGCCACTTTGCTTGGCGGGTATGGGTCAAAATTAAACCAGCGGACCGCAGGTTTTGGTCCATGTTTCCACTTACCAGGGTTCCCTGTTCGGTACATATTTCTGACCCAAAAGTCAAGGTTTTTTTCAGTAGCGGAGGCCATGGGGCCTGCTTTTTGTTTTGTTTTTAACTGCCAGGCATGACCCTGAGAAAACCAAAAATCAAAACAGAAACACAATTCCTGACCCAATTGACCCTTAAGCTAGGGACTTCAACACATTGGGCCTGGAATTGGATTTTTGATTTGTTTTGTTTGTTTGGGGGGAGGGGGGGGAGGGGTTCTCAAGGAGTTTTGCACTCTTGGTGGAGGATTGCAAGAGAATCCTCGGGAAAGCCAAAAACAAATCCAGACCCCATGGCTCCTTAAGCTAGGGACCTCGGCGCATTGGGCCAATTCTTGTCTGGCACTTCTTGAGGTTGGAGCAGGAAGATATAATTCTCGGCAAGAAGGAGCCATCTTCCATCACAGCCCGGGCGTTACCAGGTTTTCTTTGCCCGATTCTCTTGCCAACGAAGAGCTAGAGATGCAAGGGGACATAGAAAGGCCCTGTTTGGCCAAGTGTTTGTTTCCTTTTGGGCTGAGGAGTCTTTTTTTGGTTTTGGCGCCACAGCTAGGGGTTCAACCGCCAATCTGAGAATTGGTTGTTGGCAGTGCTGTTGCGCACCATTACCTCGTCGTTTTAAACCTTCAGGCCGATTCGACTGGGCAGGGGATATTATTCCATTTAGTAGGGATGTTCCTTTTTGATTCCAAGCCAAAGGGCATTCACCGAGTTGGTGGACAAGTGGGTGTAGGACCCCAACCCAGGGTGTGTGTGCTCCTGCAAATCGCTTTCAGGAAGAGGCGGAGGCCGGCGTCGGGGTCGGGCCCGGGCTTGGCGAGGGCTGGGCAAAATGGGGCCGGGCCGCGTTTTTCCTAGTGGCTTGTGGGACCTGGGCCATCGGACGCTCGCGATTTCGGCGGAAGCGGCCGTGCCGTTTTTCCCCAAACAGTGTGTCTACACTAAGGGGCTCTTACGGTAAGAGAAAAGGCCTTGGTGCCAGATTGAGGTGTCGACTTCTGTCCGCGAGCGTTTTGCGTGGTATGTACCGCTCTTGCTTGATGTCGAAGTGCATTTCGACTGCGCAGGCTCGCACAAAGTGAGGTGTCGACTTCTGTCCGCGAGCGTTTTGCGTGGTATGTACCGCAGATTCGTGCTCTTGCTTGATGTCGAAGTGCATTTCGACTGCGCAGGCTCGCACAAAGTGAGGTGCCGACTTCTGTCCGCGAGCGTTTTGCGTGGTATGTACCGCAGATTCGTGCTTTTGCTTGATGTTGAAATGTGTTTCGACTGCGCAGGCTCGCACAAAGTGAGGTGTCGACTTCTGTCCGCGAGCGTTTCGCGTGGTCTGCGCCGCAGTGTTGAAATGCGTTTCGACTGCGCAGGCTCGCAGAAAGTGAGGTGTCAACTAGCGTTTCGCGTGGTATGTGCCGCAGATTCTTGCTTTTGCTTGATGTTGAAGTGCGTTTCCATTGCGCAGGCTCGCACAATCCAGGGACCGTGGGGGTTTTGTCTCGTGGTCCGGCGGCACGGGTTTCCGGCGAAAGGTCCCGGGCTCGATTCCCGCCCTGTCCGCGCGAGCTTGTTTCCCTTTCTTTGGGCATGCTTGGATGGTGCTTCTGTGCTGCGACGGCTTCTCGATGGTAACAACAACCAAACAGCAACAGCAACAACAACAGCAACAGCGCCACATTCATAGAAAGAAAGAAATACAGAGACAAAACGAGAACCAAGGAAGAAGCGACCTACCTAGCTAACTCACTAACTCAGGCACCCTGTTGAAACAAACACACAGATCTTGCCTTTTGTAGTGATGCTTGCGCAGCCATGGGCGCAATAATCTTGGCGACGCTGCTGGAAGCCGCGCCTGCCGATGTGCGCGCGGAATTCGAGCATCTCGGGTCATGTGTCTTGGGAGACCTTGCGGCTGCGCAGGCGGGTGCTTTGTTGGAAGGTTTATCTTCGGATCGACAGGGCTTATGGACGGCGTGCAAGAACGCAGGGATTAGCCGGAAACAAGGTGGGAGAAGTTTGCAGCAGGAAGAGCTTCGGGCGCTGGCGAAGGACAAGCTTCTCGCCGTGCTGCCGGCGGTTTCATTTCAGGCTCTTCTGGACTACGCCGTGCCTGGCGAGATGGGGAGGGAACTGGAAGAGTACGGAGAGGTCCTCGTGGCGGCGCAGGAAGCGGCCAGAGTGACAGAGCTCCTTCGTGCATTGGGAGCGGGTGCAGATGAGCTCAGGAAAGTGAGCAGTGTGTGGGGGATCGCAATACGAAATGCCAGTGGCAGAACACGCGCAGCGCAAAGTGTGCGCTCCGAGTTGCGCGGCGCCTGCGTTCGATTTCTGAAAGAAACGCCAGTCAGCGACGCTTCGGGTGGGGCGGAGCAGGGCATGACTGCGTCTGCGGCTGCGCGCGCGGGTGAGGGCATAAGCCCGAGCAGTTCCGGCGCGTTGGTGGAGCAAAGCGTGCAGGTTACCTTGGCGATGCTGCTGGAAGCCGCGCCTGCCGATGTGCGCGCGGAATTCGAGCATCTCGGGTCATGTGTCTTGGGAGACCTTGCGGCTGCGGGTGCTTTGTTGGAAGGTTTATCTTCGGATCGACAGGGCTTATGGACGGCGTGCAAGAACGCAGGGATTAGCCGGAAACAAGGTGGGAGAAGTTTGCAGCAGGAAGAGCTTCGGGCGCTGGCGAAGGACAAGCTTCTCGCCGTGCTGCCGGCGGTTTCATTTCAGGCTCTTCTGGACTACGCCGTGCCTGGCGAGATGGGGAGGGAACTGGAAGAGTACGGAGAGGTCCTCGTGGCGGCGCAGGAAGCGGCCAGAGTGACAGAGCTCCTTCGTGCATTGGAACGAGGAGGCCTGCTCACACAGTTTTTTTACTCGTTCTTCGGCCCCCGCTGGGCCTGCCAGGCTTCAAGTGCGTCCAGCCGGGCCTGGAAGCCCTTGCACACCCCCCACAGCACGCTGGTGAGGTGAGAGTAGTCGAGAAGCGGGTGCAGATGAGCTCAGGAAAGTGAGCAGTGTGTGGGGGATCGAAATACGAAATGCCAGTGGCAGAACACGCGCAGCGCAAAGTGTGCGCTCCGAGTTGCGCGGCGCCTGCGTTCGATTTCTGAAAGAAACGCCAGTCAGCGACGCTTCGGGTGGGGCGGAGCAGGGCATGACTGCGTCTGCGGCTGCGCGCGCGGGTGAGGGCATAAGCCCGAGCAGTTCCGGCGCGTTGGTGGAGCAAAGCGTGCAGGTTAGCTGCTGGAAGCCGCGCCTGCCGATGTGCGCGCGGAATTCGAGCATCTCGGGTCATGTGTCTTGGGAGACCTTGCGGCTGCGCATGCTTTGTTGGAAGGTTTATCTTCGGATCGACAGGGCTTATGGACGGCGTGCAAGAACGCAGGGATTAGCCGGAAACAAGGCGGGAGAAGTTTGCAGCAGGAAGAGCTTCGGGCGCTGGCGAAGGACAAGCTTCTCGCCGTGCTGCCGGCGGTTTCATTTCAGGCTCTTCTGGACTACGCCGTGCCTGGCGAGATGGGGAGGGAACTGGAAGAGTACGGAGAGGTCCTCGTGGCGGCGCAGGAGGCGGCCAGAGTGACAGAGCTCCTTCGTGCACTGGGAGCAGGTGCAGATGAGCTCAGGAAAGCGAGCAGTGTGTGGGGGATCGAAATACGAAATGCCAGCGGCAGACCGCGCGCAGTGCAAAGTGTGCGCTCCGAGTTGCGCGGCGCCTGCGTTCGATTTCTGAAAGAAACGCCAGTCAGCGACGCCTTGGGTGACGCGGAGCAGGGCATGACTGCGTCTGCGGTTGCGCGCGCGGCAGCGGACGTACACCCGAGCAGTTCCGGCGCGTCGGTGGAGCAACGTGCGCAGGTTGCCGCTGGCCGGGCTTTGTCGGACAGCGACCTCGGTACTACCGCATGAACTGCCTCGATAACATGGCGCCAAATGAGTTTGACGCCTTCTTGTGCGCCCTGCGATCTGGGAGCGCGCGCTTTATGTACACGCCTGCTGTGGAAGGGTCCGAGCCAGACAGCCCAGTCTTTGGGCCTGCCTTGATAACGCTTCTGTGCTGCGAGAGCTTGCCACTAGCGCTCTGCGTGCGCCGCGTCGGCTGTTTGCAGCAACAAGCTACCGCGCCTTGACCGCAGCGCCTTTGCATCTACCAACAGACTGGCCTGCTGCGGCTGCGCCTCAGTGCCACGCATCTATCCCAGCAGCCCTGTCCTGCGATTCTGCCGTCTCACCGATATGTGCTGCTCATCAAAGAAAAAACGAGCACGCCTGCTGGCCATGCCTGTGCGCCTTTTTCTTTTTGGTGCTGCATGTGTCTCTACTCCCACACACGTGTCCTCGTCTTTGTGAGTGTGCGCGCAAATACCGCAAAATGATGTTGCAGCTTCCTGACAACAACCGCCGTTTCGCGGCGCTGCCCGCACAATACTCTGCAGCGTGTGACCGCCGCCTATCACTGTTTGGGGTCTCGTGCCGGGGTAATTGTTGGGGGGGAAGCGAAGTGGAGTCCTCCTAAAAAAGGCCCCTTGCTGAGGGGCTGACCTTTCAAAGTCCACCACAATAAAGCGGGGGTTCAAAATCCCGGCATGGTCTGGTTTCCCTTCGCCTCCATGAAGCGGGAGGTTGGACAAATAGATGGGTCCCCAGAAATGAGTCGTTCTTGGTGCCCTCCCAAGAACAAGCACAGGGGTCCCCTTAAAAGGAACATGGTCTTCCAGGAACCCCCTGCTGAGGTTCTATGTTTGTTTTTGGGAGGGTAAATTTGAACCAGCCCGAAACCGGCGGAATTCCCATTTTCCAGCCGAGGAAATCCATGGAAGTGCGAATCGCTTTCGAAGGAACCTCACACGAAACTTGCCAAAGATTTGGAGGGACAGGTTGAATTCTCCATTTCGAAAGGTTCATTCCCAATGTCTTCTTTCGATAACACGCTGTTTATTGCATTGTGTTTGAGAAGATGAGGAAGATACGGTTGCAAGCGATAAGCTTTCCTTTTGCAACACAAGGGGGCTCAAGCATCAACGCTGGTGCATGCGGTGGTTTGCTTGATTGTGAGGTGGAAGCCCAACAAATATATTCTTCCAACAGTTGACACATGCCGAATAGCACGCCGGCCACAAGGCGGCGATTCACTTTGGACCCTGACCTTATTCAATGCCTGGGCTGTTCAAACCTTACCTTGCGTAACTGAAGGGGTCGGCCGAGGCTACCGCCCGGGCTATGAAGGCCCCTGCTCTGTCTGATCATCCTTGAATCCTTGGGTTTTGCGGATTTCGACGTTGGCAGGAGCTTTGAAGGATCCTAGGGAGAGGATGAGCGTGGCATTTTTGGCATGAAATGAGTGTTTGTCTGAGGCAAAGTGATGATGGTCAGAGCATGTGTGTAATGAATTATTTAGCTCTTGACATGAATGTATAAAGAAGATGAGTCCGAGGGGCGTGTACTTGTGTTCCTGTGGGGCCATCCCTTTCCAATTCATTCCCGAAACTCTTGGACTCAGTTCCCCAGTGAGAATTTAGTTTCAGCATTTGGTGTCCCGTTCTCGAGCCCTGCGCCTTCAGAGCCAAGCCCCCAGCCCATCTCCCACCCCACCCACCCGCGGCTTGCGCCGCTCCGGACCACTCAGCCCCAAGGCGCCCGAGGAGCAGACGGAGCAGCACGTGAAGCGCGGGCCGGGCCCCCGGGCCCCGAAGCCGGGGCCGGTGGCCTTGAAGGGAAGCAGAGGCAGACCGGGCACCCAAGAGATGTAAGACACAAGGGTCGGGCCGTTCAAAGAAAGCCACCATGTTCTTCAAGGACTTGTACTTTTTGCTGGGCTCAATCAGTGCAGCCACGGCCACCTTGACAGTTTGAGCCGAGTAGGTATGGCCTAATGGCCTGCCAAGGCACGCAAGCCAAGGGCCCCCTTTTGTCCAACGAAAATGGAGGGACTGGAACCATGATGGTAATCTTCCAACCACTCTTTTCTACTTTTATGGTTGTTGGAAAGAGGGTAGAACCATGTTGGCGCACCTGGTTCTGGCTTCGTTCCTTCGTGCCTGTTTGCTCTTTTTGGGGAAGGGTGTGTCAGCTTCAGAGGTCCTTGCGTGCCCCTTGTTTTTGTGTGGCTCAAACATCACCTTGCTTGAACTCTGGGACCCGTGACGTTTGGTTGGATCGACAAGGAGCTGTGGTTCCTTTCGATTTGGTGGGCGCATCGGAGGTTTTCGGATGCCCCAACTGGGTTGATCCATCCGACACCTCCAGCTCCGAGGGCTTGAAGTTTTTCGACTCGCCGGAGGGTTTTTGTTGGGCCAAACGGAAGAGGAAACATGGAGGTCCACCAACAGGCGTGGGCTTGCAACAGGTTTGGTTGGAAAAAATCGGAGTTCCATGATAAGGGCTCTCACATTCCATACACTCAATAGGTAACACCAACATTGCCTCAATGGTACGGTTAATTCGTTCTTCATGGAGGGTCCCTGCGGCTTGTTTCCCTTTGGATTCTTTCAAAGAAGCATCTTTCTTGCTTGGTGGCTCCCAGCCATCTCCTTTGCCTTCTATGTTTTTAGTGTTTGGGGTTTTCTATTTCACCCGCTAAAATTTCTTCACTTTTAGCGGGGAAACGGGCAGCCCAGTTTGGATCTACGTTGGTAACATCACCAGCATCCTTCGCCCCAACAAGCCTCGAGGATCAGCTCCGTTTTCCTTTCCTTCGGACATGGGATGCGAGAGTGGGATCAAGGGGTTTGTCCAACCACTTCTGTGATTTTGGGAATCTCTATCTCTTGATATGGGTTGGTCAAAAAACCGGTACCAAAACGGAATGGGTGGAAATATGGACCAACATCTGCGTTTTAGCCACAGCCATAGGGCGGGTTAGTCTTTGGGAAGCCCTTTCTGTTGTAGCACAGAAGTGGATTCCATTTCCCACAGCCCATGCCAGGACCAAGTTCCTGAATATGCTGGGCAGCCTGAACCCTGAGAAGGTGAAGGACCGAACAAATGCCATCTAGGCGGCCGAAAATAAGAAGAAGAGCCGGGGACCAGCTTGTGGGATGGGTAAAGGGGAACCAACAGCAAACCAGCTCACTGCTGTACTTATTTTTGTGGCAGCCGGAAGCAAACCGAAATTGCACCGTCGCTGTGAACACGTTGCCAGAAGCATGCTGATGACATGCAATGAATCAGACACATTCAGCTCGAGCGCAGGCGTGCCCAATTCACTCATTTGCTTACTGGATGCAGATGCGATGACGACGGAAGAGTATTCTCTGTGGCGGGACGAGCTGTCTGGACAGCAAGATGGGGATTGCTTTTTCAACACGTTGCGACGTCACCTGGCCAAGAGATACTCAATTGCTCATTGGTGTCCAGGTTTCCTTTTCTTGTTGTTGTTTATTCACACGTGGTGCTTTCCTTTATTTCCATTGCAACCAACCAAGTAAGGATTGCTCTTGCCAAATTTTAGGCAGCTCGCTTTGGCTGGCAACCTAGGTATGAGAGTGCGTGGGAGAACGCTGAGTGCTTGACGGACGGCCATTAAACGGCAATATGTTGAAGCAGCGACAGGCAAAGCAAACGGTCTGGCAACTTGCATCGACTTGCTGCAAGCAGCGGAAAGAGGCGACGCACAACATGTGACAGAGCTGCTGGAGAAGCCTCATGATATCCGAATGCAACTGACAGAAACAGTCGTGTGACGCCTTTGCTTACTGCTGCTGCAAACGGCCACCAGGCAGTTGTGCAGTGCTTGCTGGATGCCGGTGCTGTCAAAGAGAAGAAAGACAATCATGGCACCACACCGTTGTATGTGGCAGCAATGCAGGGCCACTAGTCAGTTGTGCAGAGCTTGCTGGATGCCGGTGCTGACATAGAGAGGGCAGACAATCACGGCGCCGCGCCGCTGCATGTTGCTGCAATGCAGGGCCACCAGGCCGTTGTGCAGTGCTTGCTGGATGTCGGTGCTGACAAAGAGAAGGCGACAAATCGGGGCGCCGCACCGTTGCATTTTGCTGCTGGGCGGGGCCACCAGGCAGCTGTGCAGTGCTCGCTGGATGCTGGTGCTGACAAAGAAAAGGCGGCAAACTCGAGCGCCACACCGTTGCATTTTGCTGCTCGGCGGCGCCACCAGTCAGTTGTGCAGTGCTTGTTGGATGCTGGTGCTGGCACAGAGAAGAAAGACAATCATGGCACAACAAGTTGTATGTTGCTGCAATGCGGGGTCACCAGTCAGTTGTGCAGAGCTTGCTGGATGCCGGTGCTGACATACAGAAGGCAGACAATCACGACGCCGCGCCGCTGCATGTTGCTGCAATGCAGGGCCACCAGTCAGTTGTGCAGAGCTTGCTGGATGCGGGTGCTGACAAAGAGAAGGCAACAAATCGGGGCGCCACACCGTTGCATGTTGCTGCTGGGCGGGGCCACCAGGCAGCTGTGCAGTGCTTGCTGGATGTGGGTGCTGACAAAGAAAAGGCGACAAACTCAGGCGCCACACCGTTGCATTTTGCTGCTCGGCGTCGCCGCCAGTCAGTTGTGCAGTGCTTGCTGGATGCTGGTGCTGGCACAGAGAAGACAGACAATCATGGCGCCACGCCGCCGCATGTTGCGTCAATCAAGGGCCACCAGTCAGTTGTGCAGTGCTTGCTGGACGCCCCTGCTGCCAAGAGAAGGCGATCCACTTGAATAGAGTTTGCTGCATAGCTGGATTTGGTTTGTTATTGAGTTGCTACCAGGCGCTGACAAAAGCGAAGCAGACAACAGGATGGCCGGGAATCCATTGTAGTTGTTTCGACTAGCCAGGAAGTAGTTTGGTTGCCGAGCACAAAGCAGATACGGCTGATTTTGTACAGGAGTCCCTATATTTCCATTTTTGGCGGTTTTGAACATCACCTTTTGGCCCATAAAAGGTGAATCAAAAGCAATTGGATCACAATGTGAGCCCGTAGATATTGCAGGTTTATCAACCAAACATGATACTTTCTCCGAGCTTGAGATGACCAAGCCCTTGGCTAGAACATTGTTGGTAGACAAAGCAGTTTTCTTTCTTCAGGTTTAATGTGAAGCCAGCGAGCTCACTTGAATGTGGAAAAAGGGGGCGAGGGCTTCATAGCCATGGGTGTTTGACAAAAACACAGCTTGGGCTGCACTGGGTTTTTAGTTCCTTCATCCTTCATGACTTTCCAAAATAGTAAGACACTGGGACCAAGCTCGGCACCGGTTTTGGGACAAGGGCGAAGTGGCGAAGTCACAGGAGCGCATTTGTTTTGAGGGTCGCCCCATTGCCTTAAAGTGGAACCAACAGCAACCAAACCATTTTGTGGGTTCGACACAAGCCCATTTCTGGACGCTGGGGAACAGGGCCGGTTGGAAACGCGAAGATGGCCTCACCAAGGTTGGGGTTTGGCGCCCTTTCACAGTTTGGAGTGAGGAAAGCTTCCGACCGTGTGGCCGGAGTTTTGGTGGGTCTTTGGGGTGACCAAACGGAAGCATCGATTTTCCGAGTTCTCCCTGGGTTTGTGCTGGTGTCGGGTTTTGTGATATGCCTATGAAATGGTGGAACGGGTTTGAGCGCAATAAGACTTTCGATGTCCTGGCATTTGGAGATACATGTTGGGGGCAATGGACGCTTTTGTTGTGCCCTGCTGTTTGCTTGCAAATCAGCGAGCAAGCTGCTTCGGGTTGTCTTTCCGTAGAAACACGCAGGAATGATTCTGGTTTTAAATCGTGAAAGGACACCACGTGTCATATTGTGGAGACACGGGAGAAAGCAAAGGAGTGGGCAACTTGCTTTCGGTCTTCCGATTCCAGGGAGGTTCAACAGCAACAGCTCGGCAGGATCGAGGTTTTCCGGCCTTTCGAATGGCAGTTTTGATTTCCCCACGATTCACCTACAAACGGTGATTGATTTCGTTGCTCCTTCGGGGAAGTGAAAGACCCAGCCCGACTTCCTACAACAAAAGCTTTTCCAGAAGCCAGCATTCCACGGCTAGGGTTTGGTTCTGATTCCAGCCATCCTTCAGTGGCTAGGATGTTGTGGTTCCGATTCCAGTCACAGAGCTGACCAGGGTTGATCCGAATCTCTAAAATGATCATTTCATAGGAGCATTTGTTTCCACAGAGAGAACAAATTGGTATTGATTTGTTCCATTTTTTTGGGGGTCTTCTGCCAGATGCGAGTAGCGCTTCCCTTTCCGTGGTGTCCCACTCTCTGACCGGGATCCGGCCCATTCCCGGTGGAGTGTTCGGGACGCACTCAATGCGCATTGCACTCATTGGAGTCCTTGAGCCAAAGCATCACTTTCAGGACACATGGGTATGGGTCAAAATTACACCACCGGACCGGAGAGGGGAGGATATGGCCACTGTCTCCCAGGACCTGGCGATGCACTCCCCAGGCGGATCTCTGGATGACGCGGGGATCCCAAAGCGAACCGAAGCGATGGGTGGGTTCGAGAGATGGGAATGAGAAGTGGAGTCTGTCCCCGAGGAAAGCCAACCATCCGAGGTTACTGTGTGCCCAGTCGTCGGGATGACGGCACCCTTTCTCCTTTTTCTGTGTGAGTCCTCCGCTCAAATCCTGAGGTTTGTAGTTGCATGTGGCCGACTTACTTGCTTTTGATATGGATCAGCCGTAGACTGCAACACGGGCTTGGGTTTTTGAGGGACACGAGCCAGTTTGGAGGTTCCCTTTGTTTAGTCTTGGGCAGTTGGGGCAGCCATGTGCATTCAATGGCTCTGCTGAGGAAGTTCCTCTTTGGGGTGATGCTTGTGTCGGACAAGCCCATTTGGCTGTGGGTCAAGAATACTGGAACCCTGGCAAATGGAAGGACTAAAATCCGCGGTCCAATTCCTGCTGATTTGATTTTGACCCTTTTCGGTTTCGGGCCTCTATCCCATTGCCCCGCTCTCAGGCGCCTGTGCTGCCGCGGGTGAAGGCTCGGCACGGCATGGCAAACGTGCGCCGTGGTTGGAGTTGGCCTTTTGAGTGGTTCAGTTTCTACCACCGGTTGGCGTTAGACGCCGTTTCCCCCTTCTGGCTTTATATCAGCTGTATGCGATGCATATGGATACATATACATATATATATATATACATATATACACATTATGTACATATATATATATATATATATATATACACATTATGTACATATATATATACACATCTATATTTGCTACCCACGCACTTGCTATATATATATATATGTATATATATGCTCACCCCCCCCCCCAGGGCCTACCTTTCCACTTCAAAATGTACAAAACCCTCTTATTTTTAAAGACAGAGGGTGTGAGCATATATACGCAAGAAGTGTGCTGTTGCTGCATATTTTTTTGTGGGTGACAAGTCATGCTGAGTAACAACAGCAAAGAGTTTATAAACTTACAAGACAGTTTATAAACCATGTCAAGGGTTTGACGGTTTCCCTGCAACAAGGGCAGGGGGGGGGTCAGAACTCTTTACGGGGGGGGAGGGGGGGGGGGTACTGAGAAGTCTTTACAAAGTTGGCTGAGTCACACCTCACTGCTAAGACTTCCAACCACCACCCCCCCCGCCCCCCCTCCCCCCCAAGACTTCCAACCAACCCCCCCCCCTCCCCCCCAAGACTTCCAACCAACCCCCCCCCCCATCCTTCAACGATACCATGAACACTTCGTAGGGTGTTGTTGCCTTGACGCGGGAAACTCGTCAAACACTCCATAAGGTTTACAAACTTTCCTGAAAGTTTATAAACCTTCTGTAGGCTTATTGCGTAGCAAGTGGAGACTGTTGTTTGGGAAAAAAAGGACACTCATTTGAGGCCTTGTTTGATGTGAATATATATATATATATATATATATTGTACCTCCCCCCCCCAAGCCAACAAAGCTCAAAGACAGAGAACAGCTGAAAAATCGAAGAAACGAGGTCTTCTGGAAGAGGACAAAACCAAGGTCTTACGGAAGAGGAAAAACCAAGATCTCCTGGAAGGGCCCCAAACAAGAAAAAAACAGAAAAAGCAGGAGAAAAAAATAAAAACGAGAAAACTCAAAAAACAGGGTCCTCATGAAGAAGGGCCCCAAACCATAAAAAAGAAGAAAACAGGAAGAAAGAAAAACGAAAAACTGAAAAACCAGAAAAACCAGAAGAAAAAAGACCAGGTCCTCCAGAAGAAGGGTGACCTCCATCATCTCTCTCCTAGACCCTGGTTTTCTGTTGTTCGTTGTTCTGGCTTTTCTGGTTTGGGCCCTTCTTCATGAGGACCCTAGTTATTGTTTCTGTTGGTTGTTTGAAGGGATAGAGCTGAACACCCAACATAACTCACGGAAAACCAACCAACAGAACCCGGGAACCCACCAAGAACACAACATTTTGGCAAAAACCAACACTTCTCCTCTGGGTTGTGTTGTTGACTTTCTTGGGTTTTGTGCTGTATTGTTCGGTTGTCCCACGATGTTCTTGATTTTTTGCATATCCCTGTTTTGAACAGGTTTGGTACTGCCATGATTAAGTCATCTTGGAGCCACAGCGAACGGGTGTGACCAGTGAGGAAGATGCTCAATGTTAAATTGGATTTCAACACTCCTGTTCAAGCTCCTGATACAGCTCTTTTGAAGGCTCCTTAATGAAGGCTCCTGATACTGCTCCTTATAAACACTCCTTGTGAGGCTCATTGTACAAGGCTCCGTATAAAACTCCTCATAAGGCTCCTGAAAAGCTGCTTGAAAGTCTCCTGTTGAAGCTCGTTCCAAAGCTCTTCTATGTCATGGCTCCATATAAGGATCGCAATTCCTTATAAAGCTGCTTGCAAAGCTCCTTCTGAAGCTCACTTGGCTGCTTATAAGACTATTTGAATGAAGCTTCAAATAAAGCTCCTTACACGACTCATCATAAAGCTCTGTTGAAGGCTCCTTGTACAATTCATTGGATTCAAGCAGGAAATACTTTCCAAATCGGACTTTAATCAAAGATAATTGCTATGTAAATGGAATTTGAATGTCTATTGTGATTTTTATTTGAAATAGGGCATCTTTTCCAAACAGGATTTTAATCAAAGTTGATTGCAGTTTGACAAGCACGGACAGGTAATGGACAGTAGTGGAGCAGAATTGAAAAGGTGAAGATGGCAAATGAGCAAATGTGCAAAGCTGTTGGATGGTGGCTTTTGAGTAGATTTGCAAAAATGCAAGATGTGCAAAGGAGGAAAGTGGATCATGGGCGGGGTGTGAGCATATATATATATATATATGGTCACCCCCCCCCCCAGGGCCTACCTTTGCCCTCTTCTAGTTGAAGGTGTCAACTCTACTCTGTGTGCCTCTTTCTTGCAGATGCCTGAAAGCACTGTAAAATACAGTGTTTTGGTTGGTTGTTTACCTTCTATGTGACAGCAAATGTCTGATTATTTGAGGCTTGAAAGGCAGCAAAGCGAAAACGGATTCCGTTTTCAGATTCGAGCCTGGCTTTGATTGAATCACTGGTTTTTACAGTGGTTTTGAGTACACCAGGGAAAAACATTGAAAAAATGATATTTTTGGCAGCTTTGAGCTCTGCAACCTGCACAGACCCAAAAGCACAAAATCTCCTGAAAATGAAAGCTCTGAGACCTGCACATGCCAAACACATCTCCAGACCAAGTTTGGGAGTCTGGGGATATGTGCCCTTTATTTGTTTAGCCACATTTAAGCTAAATCATATTTGGGAATGAGTTACAATTAAAATGTGATTGCAAAGGCCAAGTGATTTCTTTCCAGAATAAGCTATATTCCAATTCAAGCTGTATTTGGGGATGGATTCTTGATTAAATTATTATGTTCAAAAGCTAATTGAATTCTGTCTGCATTAAAGTATATTTGGATTCTACTGCAATCATTTTTTCCTTATTTGGAAAGGTATTCCTGTTCAAATTCTGATCTAATATAGACATTATGGTGAATTATGAATGGTGGTGAACTATGTGCTTACTAAATTCTATTCAATATGCAAATTCAATTCGGATCAAAATCGTATTTGGAAAGGAATGTGTACTTGGATATGTTGGACTCCAGGCTCCAAATTATGAATTTGAAACACCTGAAACCTAGAATCTGGAGATCAGAATCCTTGAGATGTCTAATGTTGGATTCTCCAAGCCTCATAATTTGGAGCCTGGAGTACTCCAACACGAATTGAATTGGAATGTTGAAGGGGGCAAAATGTTGTTTGGGAAATGAACAATCTTCGGCCCAAGGGAACACAATCTGAGCAATTTCTTCAAAACACTTTGTTTTACAGTTTTTTGTTGGACCTGCAATCCCTTGAAATGTCCATGGTGAAGCACCTGAAACCTAGAATCTGGAGATCAGAATCCTCGAGATGTCTAGTGTTGGATTCTCCAAGCCTCATATTTTGGAGCTGGGAGTCCTCCAACATTTTTAAATATAGATTCCTTTGCAAATATACTGCGAATTGAATTGGAATGTTGAAGGGAAAACTGTTGTTTGGGAAAAAAAATCTTCGGTCCAAGGGAACACAATCTGAGCAACTGCTGTAAAACACTGTGTTTTACAGCATTTTGTTGGATCTCTAATCCCTTGAAATGTGGACATTTCAAGGGATTAGAGATCCAACAAAATGCTGTAAAACAGAGTGTTTTGCAGCAGTTGCTCAGATTGTGTTCCCTTGGACCGAATGGACAGCCTTTGATATAACAGTGCAGCAGTGATGACACACCCACACACAATCATCAACCTTTTAGGACCACATGCCCAAACCACTTGTCCCAGACCTCTTTTCCGTCAGCTGCCCACAAGAAACGCAGGCCCGCTGCCCATGGTGACGATGCTCGTTTTTCCCTGTGTTTGCCTTCCCAAAAGCAACGCACAGTGGTCGGAGATCGGTGAGAAGCTGAGAGTCTGATTTGTGATGTGAAAAGGGAACACCCCCACATCAAGCTGGAACTATTCTTGAACCTTTAGCAGCCCGCTGCAAAAGGGACCTGGGCAAATCACATGGACCTCGCATCACGAGGGGTTGCGACCTCGCCCAAGACGACGGTTGCTTATTTGAGGGCGCCTGATCTCAAATGCGTGCATTATACACCTATCCATTTTCCAAGAAGGGTGTGCCATTGGGGCCTGTCCTTTGTTCTGCGATGTGCAACACCTGTTCCATTTGACTGCGAAGTCAACAGGCAACACCATCAAACATGGTGGACAATACACCCCGGAAAGGGGACATTTCTCAAAAAGGTTTCTTTTCTTGGTTGGCACTCAGAGGGAAACAAACGGAAACTGACCATGCTACCGGACCGCAATTTTGAGACACGCCCAAATGATGCCCAAAGGCCAAGCAATGGAAACTTCTCCTGCTCAGACCACTACGGACTTCTCCTGGCTGAGCAAGCCCTTTCGGGAGATGACCGACAAGGACTAGGGTTGCGTTCAAAGATGATCAAACCACAAGCTGTTAGGAATGCATTTGGACAGTTCGGGGCCATGGCCCGTCGAGCTTCAAGTTCTTGGAGTCTCTGGGTGGCTTTTGAAAGGGAAGGCCCCCGAAATCTGCATTATTATGATTTATTTATATTTTTTTAAAAAATAAATCACAGCAGAGGTACATGACAGTGCTTCCAGGAGCTGAAAGGCTACTCTCTGTTGATTGCGGTGGGCGAGTGCTGCCGCGACCACTTCCTCAACGCTAGGGGCCCCTGAAGTGGGGAGAATTTGTCGAGGCCCAGGTGTGCAGTGGTCTTTCTTTGCTCTATTGCTCGTTGGGCTCCTGGCTAGAAATTGTCAACCCCAAACAAATGCCCTTGGTCCACCGTAGTCGTTTCGGGGAGACTGATCAAACTGGTCCCTCGATCTTTGATTTAGTTTCGGGCAGCACTAGGGGAAGGATCTGCGCGTACGCGGGGTTTGTTGAAGCCAGGGTTCCTTTTGATTCGTGGAAATGAAGGTACGCATTGAAGGATCTCAGGCTAAGTCCATAGTGACAGTTGTTTTGCTTGCCAGAGTCATTTGAGGAACGTATGCTTAAACAAAAACAAGCCGGCTTCAATCGGCGTTCGTACTCAGGTCCGGGGCCTGGTGCGCGTGGGCAAGATTGGCGCCACCAAGCAGGCGACGTGTTTGGCTCGCGCGCTCGAAAACTCGAGGTCCGTTTCGGACTTATACAAAGTTTGCGGGGTTGTCCCATTGGAAAACAAGCAGTTTCGGGTTTTTTTTTGTGGCCCATGCGGGGAAAAAGAGTTGGCCCCTTGCAACTTGTGACGCCTGGGTCAGTGGGGGTTAGGATCCCATTTTAGAAGGGATCCCATGCACATAATCAACCAAGCAAGACATAAATGCATACATACACATATACATACATGTGTGTATGCACATATATGTATATATATATATATCTTATATGCATGTATAAATCTATATATACATATATATATATATATATCCGGGGCCGACCTTGTGGAAACCCTACATGTCCTTGATTCCTCCGTGGCGCGGTTGACGGCCTCCTTCCCAGGGGCCTCCCGATCAGACAAAAGTCGAGCGCCTGACATCTCGGGGAGTGAATTGAGACGTGGAAAACACGAGGGCGCCGTGGTCGAGTCCGTCTCTTCTGGACTTGGTTGGCAGGAGTTCTTTTTTGCCCCCCTTAGTGTGCTTTTGTTTGAGATAAGGGCAGTCCTTGGGTCGCAGAGGCTGAACACGCCGTGCCCCTGGCTTTCAGCACACCGGCGTGCGACAACGCTGGCATGCCCGGCAGTTCACCAAAGCTGGGTGGCCCTGGGGTGCTTGTGAGCACCGAGACGCAAAGAGCTTTGGAGGTCGTAGCCACGTGATGGGCAGCAGGCCCTCACTGCCCCCTTCTGCACTTAAGCAGCGAAGGGTGGCCACGCAAGGCCGGCTTCCCTGAAACGAGCGAATCAGCTCAGCTGATTGAGGCACTTGAACGAGCTTTGTGCCTAAGGTTCGCAACCAGCCAAGATGACTTCTTCACGGGCCACGGGGCTCAATCAGGAAACGCGAACTCTGTCAACAGTGTTGGGCTGCGACTTGTTCAGTTTCTTGGAAGGAGTGAGTTCCAAGGTTGTTTCCCCTTGAAGGGCTGTTCCTGGGAGCAGTGTATAACTGACACTGAGCTCCCAACTAAGCGTCATGGGCACTTCAGGCATGTTAGGCCAACATCGATGCCGTTTCAGCGAACCACGCCGCATTGGCGGAGTTTGGATGTGACACATGGATCAGACTCAAAATTGGGAACCGTCGTAGCCCTTTGGTTTGCCTTCACTCAGCTGTGGTCCTTTTTGACCACTGCACTTAGGGTTAGTAAAGATGGTCATCAACCTCGAGGGGAACTGATGACTATGATCCACACAAGTAGGGAGTTTTGAGCGCGACTGCCTCAACTTCAAAAACAGCGTGGAAACCCTCAAACAGTTGGGGCCACTTGGACCATTTGAATTTCCTTTTGGATGTGATTTTGCGCCATATGTGATTCCATCATGGGCCGTTTGCCTTGGGCTTGGAAGAGGAAACTGGTGCACACACACACACACACACCGCCGGTATGAAGCTTCGGGCGCGTCTCGGGTAGCTTTGGGCCTGGGTTCCTTGATTATTTTTCTTCGGTTGCCATAAGTTTGCTTGACGGATGTCCTTGGTTCTCCAAGCCCAAACTGGTTTTTGTCCGTGTATTTTTTTTGGGGGGAGCAACAGCACACTTTAAAAAGGAAAGACATAGCTCGGCGCCTTGAGACTTCAGGGCTGCTTTTTCCGGGTAGCTCTCGCCCTCGAGCGAGCAGCGAGCTCGCCAGGGCCTGCTGAGCTACTTGGCCTTCATGGAGCTCCTGAAGAAGTTTCGGGTCACCCACGGCCTCGAGACCTCCTCGGAGCTCCAGGCGGCGACTTCGCGGGGAGAAAAACAAGAAGCGCATCGGGGGGGAGGGGCGGGGAGCGGGGTTTTTGGTGTGGAATCCCAGTCGGAGGGGTGAAAAGATGGGCTTGACGCGGCATGGAGAGCAGCGGGTTGTGCGTTTTTAGGGTTGGCCCGGAAAGAGATGTTGGGACTTTTGGAGGGGGTTGGGAGCGGTTGGGGTTTCGGGGAGTTTTTTGGGAGGTGTGTTTGTGATTGTTTGATGTTGCCTGCATATCAGGGGGGCGTGCTGTTTGGTGATTTTTATTGGGTGGTTCGGGATGAGGCAAATGTGTTGCCTTTTTGCACTTTGGTGGATTTTGCGGGGCAGTTTGGGGCTTTTGCAGTTTGGTGGTTTTGGTGATTGTTTTTTCCATTTGGTAATTGTTTCTTTTGAACTTCCCGCTTCAAATTGCCCCTTTGTTGAGCACATTTAAAGTTAACCGTCTCCACATGCCGGACCTCTCAAAATGGGGTGCCTCCAAAGAGAGAGTCCCATTTTCTTCTTTGCAAATCTGATTTCCCGTCCATGAAGGTTCCCGCTTCTGTGATACCTCCCTCCCCTTTCAGACTTTAAGACCTGGTCTGCGCGTGAGCGGGTTGATCACGGGGTCAGGTTTCCTCTGAGCAAACATGCTCGGAGTGTTTGGAGATCCACGTTCTCGGCCATGGAGGTTTGCACCAGCAGGGGGTCCTTTCCGGGACGAAAAACAAAAAAAACAAAAAGCTCATTCATGGGCTTTCAGCCATCCCAATTGGTGTAGGACTTCCTATCCACCCACAGTAATTAGCCTGGATCAACAGTGACGTCCCTCGCTCTGTTTGCTTTTGACAAGTTGTTTTCCTTTTTCCGCGACCAGGAGTTCATGCGCATGGTGGACCCCTGCTCGGCTGGACTGCCTGGGCCAAAGACTAAAGTCCTTGTAGCCAGTTGACCCCAATCGGATGTGGCGCCCCTTTGTTTTTGCTCTTCTTTTGTTTTAGTCTTTGTTTCTTCGTTGTTTCTTCTCGCTTCTTTGATTTGCTTCTTCGTTCATTTGTTTCTCGTTTTTGTGTTTGCTTAGTTCGTTCTTTCTTGCTTTCTTTCCTTTCTTTCTTTTCTTTCTTTTCTTTCTTTTATTTCTTTCCTTTCTTTATTTTCTTTCTTTTCTTTTTTTGTATTTCTTTCCTTTCTTTCCTTTCTTTCTTTTCTTTCTTTTCTTTCTTTTCTTTCTTTTCTTTCTTTTCTTTCTTTTCTTTCTTGTCTTTCTTGTCTTTGTTTTCTGTCTTTTCTTTGTTTTATTTCTTTCCTTTCTTTATTTTCTTTATTTTCTTTCTTTTCTTTCTTTTCTTTCTTTTCTTTCTTTTCTTTCTTGTCTTTCTTTTCTGTCTTTTCTTTCTTTTCTTTCCTTTCTTTCTTTTCTTTCTGTTCTTTCTGTTCTATCAGTTCTTTTTGTTTTTGTTTTTCCTTTTCTTTTCTTTAAGTGTTCTTTTTCTTCTTCTTTCTTTTCTTACTTTTATTCTTCCTTTTTTTTGTTTTGTTACTTTTCTTTCTTTACGTTTCCTTTTCTTTTCCTTAAGTTTTCTTTCTTTTCTTCATTTTTTTCCTTTTCTTCCTTTTCTTTCTGTTTCTTTTACCTTTTCTTTTTTTCTTTAAGTTTTCTTTCTTGTTTCTTTCTTTCTTTTATCTCTTTCTTTCTTTTCTTTCTTTTCTTTGTTTTGTTTCTTTCTTTCTTTGGTTCGTCTCCTTGTGTTTTCCCTAACTTCAAGAAAAGAAGGAGTGGGTGAGACTCAGAATAAGCGAGCTGCAGCTGGCGGCAGCGCACACACTTTGACCGCGCGAGACCAAATTTTGCGAATGAACCGCTGCCGTCTTACGTTTGCTTGCAAGCCCTGGCGTTTCGGGCAACCCAGCCTCGCAATAGAACGCCCTTGGGCTGGTGGTGGGTCCAGTTAAAGCAAAGACTTGGTAGCTGGTTTTCACCTGGAGATGAATCAACTTTGGAAGCATGAGTGTGTATTCGTTGCCCTGTTTTCCACTTTGCGATAGCCCTGAAAAATATAACTTGTGAGGTTTGGGTTTGAGCCCGGTCAACGTCAGACGTAGTTGGAGATTGTCGTATGTGTGCGCAGCACACAGCAAACACGTTGTCTTGGAGATATTTCAGTTTTGACAACAGTTCCACAGCAGCGAACGTTGCCAGTCCCTCCTGGTTGTTGTTATTGTTTGTTTGTGTGTTTGTTTGGATGTTTGCTTGCTTGGTGGGTTGTTTGCTTGCCTGCTTGCTTGCTTGCGTGCGTGCGTGCTTGCTTGCTTGCTTGCTTGCTTGTTGGTTTGTTGGTTTGCTTGGTTGGCTTGCTTGCTTGCTTGTTTGTTTCTTGGTTGGTTGGTTGGTTGGTTGGTTGGTTGGTTGGTTGGTTGGTTGGTTGGTTGGTTGGTTGGTTGTGCTTGATTGGTTGGTTGGTTGGCTGGCTGGCTGGGTGGTTGGCTGGTTGGTTGGTTGGTTGGTTGGTTGGTTGGTTGGTTGGTTGGTTGGTTGGTTGGTTGGTTGTGCTTGATTGGTTGGTTGGTTGGCTGGCTGGCTGGGTGGTTGGCTGGTTGGTTGGTTGGTTGGTTGGTTGGCTGGTTGGTTTGGTTGGTTGGTTGGTTGTGCTTGATTGGTTGGTTGGTTGGCTGGCTGGCTGGGTGGTTGGCTGGTTGGCTGGTTGGGTTGGTTGGTTGGTTGGTTGGTTGGTTGGTGGCTTGATTGGTTGGTTGGTTGGCTTGATTGGTTGGTTGGTTGGCTGGCTGGGTGGTTGGCTGGTGGTTGGTTGGTTGGTTGGTTGGTTGGTTGGTGGTTGGTTGGTTGGTTGGCTTGATTGGTTGGTTGGTTGGCTGGCTTGGCTGGGTTGGTTGGTTGGTTGGTTGGTTGGTTGGTTGGTTGGTTGGTTGGTTGGTTGGTTGCTTGATTGGTTGGTTGGTTGGCTGGCTGGCTGGGTGGTTGGCTGGTTGGTTGGTTGGTTGGTTGGTTGGTTGGTTGGGTTGGTTGGTTGGTTGTGCTTGATTGGTTGGTTGGTTGGCTGGCTGGCTGGGTGGTTGGCTGGTTGGTTGGTTGGTTGGTTGGTTGGTTGGTTGGTTGGTTGGTTGGCTGGTTGGTTGGTTGGTTGGTTGGTTGGTTGTGCTTGATTGGTTGGTTGGTTGGCTGGCTGGCTGGGTGGTTGGCTGGTTGGTTGGTTGGTTGGGTGGTTGGGTGGTTTCCTGGTTTTCGGCACTCTGGATACGCGTCCTCTCAACTTTGTGGGCTCCGTGCCTTCTCAAAATGTTGAGAAGGCACTGTGACCCTGGGAAAACCACATGCCCAAACATGAGGTACATCTCAGTAAAAATTGGACACCATGCTTGTCAGGGCCATCGTGCCTTCTCAACTTTCCCGCTTCTTTGAGAAGGCATGGTACCCTGGAGAAACCTCGGGGAAGGGTGTCCAGACCCTCGAGGTTGGGTGGGCTTGGTTTGGTTTGGTTTGGGTGGGTTGTTTGTGTCTGTCTGTCTGTCTGTCCGTCCGTCCGTTTGTCCGTCTGTCCGTCCGTCTGTCTGCCTGCCTGTCTGTTTGCTTGTTGGTATGTTTCTGTTGTTTTCTCGGAATGCTTGGTTGTTTGTTGTATGTCTATGAACTTCTTTGTTGGTTTTTGTTGTTCGTCGGGTCTTGGGTGTTGGTTGTTGCAAGGCTGGACCCCGTGGAGCTGGAAAAGGCCATCAGCGCGGCACGGGGCCAAAGGTGCGGTCAGATTCGTGGCCATGATTTTTAATGGGGAACCACCCCAAAAGTGATTGGTGGACATGAATCCCCACCTAATTGATGTCCACCAAAGGGTCCCTTATAAAAAAAGAAAAGACAAAGAAACACATAGTCATGTCCATTTTTTGTGGCACCCCCAAAATGGCATGGGTTTCCTGTTGGGTCGGCGTTGACCCCCATAAGAAACTTTGGGTACCCGCTAAAAATACACCCCCTTCTTTGGCGTTCGAAGGGAAACGCGCTGAAACCGACGCTGCTTTGGAGCGCCGATTTGTACTTTCAGAAACCTGTAGTCGTGTGGGTGTTTCAGTTGGTCCCCTTTGGGGTGGTTAGAGCAACCGAGAGGAAAACCCGAAGCCAGTTTCGGGGTCCCAATCCTCTGACGCAGGCTCAGTGGTGGGCTTTCCCCTTTCCCCTTTTGGTGCCATTGTTCTTTAGTCGCATGGGTTTCCCATCAGCAGGCCCGTTTTTCCTGATGTTCTTCATCTTCCTTCTTGGTTGCAAGCTGGGAAGGATAGACCCTTTCACTGGTTTCTTGGAGCAGGATTCCCTTTGGCCGAGAAAAAGGGTCCCTAGTTTTCCACTTGCTTTGCGGATTCCCTCGGAATGACATATAGCAACAAAAAGGATGCCTTTGGTTCCAAGCGGCCATGGAGGTTTGGGTCGTCCCCGAACTTTGCACAGGCCCACAGTTGTCAACACGTTGGGTTCACGTCTATCCTGTTGCGAGGATGCGCAGCCGGCAAGACTTTCACCATCCGCAAAACAGCTTCCGTTGGCCGCGCAATTTGCGTATCCTGGCCCTCTTGAACGAGCCAAAACGAGGTTCAAGCAATCGGTAAAGGGGAAGGCCGTACCTTGGTGTCTACAAAACGAGGCGTTTCACTACGTGAACTGGGACGAGCAATCCTGCTTTCTCTCAGTAGGGCACAAAAGAATGACCTCCCCAACCTCCGGCCGTGAGTGCGTGCTTGCGTGTGTTTGTGTGTCAAACCGAAGCAGAACCACTTCCGTGGCTCCGCAAAAAGGGAAGTAACGTAATACCCCTCCATTGGAAGATCCATTTTTTGACACACACACACACACCCATACATGCGCTATGTGGCTGTGGCGGTTCCGTTCGGTTGCAGACGAAGGCTGCGCAGCAACTGTCATGAGCGGTTCACAAATTGTCATTTCCACAGTTAGTTTCTGGCTCTCAAGTTTCTGGAGACTCTTGTTTGTCCTATGTGCCATGTTCAAAAGACCCCTTTTCTTGAGCAATGGTCATGGACCCCCCCTAGGGATTTTAGAAAACCAGCAGGTTTAGGGGAGCGTGGCCATAAGTAGTTTTAACAGCTGGTGGACTTGTGGAATGCGGTCTCTGGAATCGGGGCTTGGTGCGTAGACCCCTAAGACGACTTTCAGGCGATGCACCATGTTTGCGGGAGACTGACATGAAGGGCCAGAATTGCACGCACGACTCTTATGATCTTGACTTATTTGGGATTTGAGGTACCCAACCCCCTTCCGAACTCTTCTTCGTTCTAAGATAGCCTTTCTCGGCTTGGTTCGTAGGGAAAGAAGGGCCCGTCTCTTTTCGAGGGTACGACTGCACGCGTCGCTTTCTGTTTTTTTCTATCTTGGAAAACCCACCGGGAAGCCTCCAGCCCATGTTGGGCCCCGTGTCCCTAAGCTAAAACGGGCCACCGGGACGGCTGAGCGGCTGAGGTCCGCGAGGACGAGGCGCGCCGGCGGCCCAAGGCGCCCCCGAAAGGCGGGCTGACGGGGCGATGGGTTGTGCTTTCGGTGGAGTCCGCTCGATTTGGTGCCTGGACGATGGATGTTTGTTGGTTTGGAAGATGTCAGAAAAAAAAAACCCTTCAGCAACTTTCGTGGAGAATGATTCGGAACTCGGAACTCTTGGGTTGCCTTTTTGGGCAAACAAGAAATTAGATCTGTGTTTTTGGCCGATCCGGTGGGGAAATGAGATTGTTTTTGGTTGGCTCATTCTGCGGTGGGTTGGTGTGAGGGGGAATGGATTTTCCTTGGTGGGTGAACCATGCAAGGCATAAACACAGTCGGGCAAGGACTTGGATGGCCATCACCAACATGTGATGCATTTATGCCTTGTGGCCCCGGATATGGTGGCCATGCTTCAATTCAGAATTTCAGCCAAGGCGATTTCCCGACACCTCACTGGGTGCCCATGTTCTGAGGGGTTTTCCTTGAACATCAACTACCAAAAAGGGTGGGTGCCTGCTAGGGTGGCCTTGCCCAAGCTCGGGTGCCCATGGCTGGTCAATCACAGCCATGGGAGGGTTCCGAGCTGCAGTCGCTGTCGGACGAAGCAGATGTACCATGTCCATGTTGAAAACACCCCCGTTGATACCGTGGTTTAGAGACAACGAATGATTGGTTGCGCCTTGAAAAGACCTAAGTCACTTTGAAGTGTGTGGAAACATTTTTTTTTCCGCCACACTAACCAGCACACCTGCTCGTTCACCGGACCACGCGAGCTATTAAAGACATGGACCGGAACATCGACTTGTTGAGTTTTGGTTTTGACGGTCCTTGTGCTGCCATCCCTCCTTCACGATGGGGTAAGACTCCTGCTGTTTGCCTCTCTAGCTGTGTCTGAAACTAGGGGAAGCCACAAATCGTGGCATTGCTGTTGGTTTCCCTTTAAACCAACCAAACGAGGGTACCAACTCAAAAAGGACGCCCTTTCGGCCTTGTCCGCTCGCGCGAGCCAAGTTGGAGTCTCCAGCGTGATGTCATCGGGAGATGTGGAGGTGTTCCAGGGGCGGTTGGGCTTCAAATCCCCACATGACAATCCAACCACATTTGGGTGTGTCTTTTTTTTTGTGAACTCCCAACATTGTGGCTTTCCTTTTGGTTTCCCTTTAAACTCACCCAAGACACGAGGTAACCTCAAAAAAAGGACAGACCCATTTGTTTGGCTTTTGGCAGGGGTCCAACATGGAGCTCTTAAGGGCTGACGCCACCCACCTGCTCTCGGCAGGCGGGCAATTTGCCGCGACTCTGGGAGAGCAGGCCAGGCGAGTGGGGAGAGGACGGGGCAGCTTTCTGAGACTGCAGTCCTTTCGCATCATTTGCCATTTGGAGGTTCCCTAACTATGGGCCAGAATCTGAAGTTGTGAAGTTGGGGCACAAGCTGAGGTCGGCATGGGGTTTGATAGGCATAGACATAGAGGAACATGAGCTGCTTTGGCGCAGTCGTTTTGTGCCAGGGGAAGACCTTTTGACATGACAAGTAGTGTTGGGGATGCATCAATGTTCTTGGCACTTGTTTGTAGCTGTTGCTGCTTTGTTTCTGTTCGTGATTGGTGGGACTGCACAAAACTTGACCTCCCTTGTATGCCAGGGACTGGGACAGATCGCATGGTGTCGCAGAAAGGGTTTTCCTGGCCCATTTTGACTGGCCCAAAAAGCTTTCACCTGCATGGTTGCCTGCATGAAACTCACTCTTATGCTAACAAGCTTGGTATGTCTTTCGCTCGGGACTCTCGCAATGAATCTGAAGGTTCCTTCAGAGTTTCTAAACATTGCAACTTGTCAAGCCAATGGTTTGTGCAAACTGGCAGGAAAAGGACACAGAATCTGATGGATCGTTGGACGCGTTTGCTACACAAGTTCGCCCTCCTCTTATTCAACCTGGGGTTTACGACTCGGGCTTCGCGGCTCCTAAGAGTGAGCGAGCGAGCAAATGGTTGAGACGTGCAAACAGCCAGTTAAACATGGGCCAACTGTCACCCGGGCCTAAATTCCGTCCCTTGGGTTTGGCCGGATGGTTGCCCTTTGCTTCCCTTCGTTGATTTCCAGGATAGTCCACCAACCCCCTCGGGTTTCAAGACGCTTTCCTGAGGCGCGGCGCCTCAGCAACTTGCCCAACGAGGCGGGAGCGGGAGGGTCAGTTTGGGGGAACCGGTTCTGCTGGTATTCTGGCTGAGGACTTCCTGTATCTGATCCAGGAGGGTTTACTTGTGGCGCCTTGGTGGAAAAGCTGCACTTCCATGCTTGGCCTCTTTGTTTTTGCTCAAGCCGCGACTTTGGCGGCGGTGAACCGGTAAGCCCCTGGTTGGGGGTTTGCCAAGCCCGAAGTGAAACTGGCACCCTTTCTCATGGGGATTCATGCGAGTTGTTGTTTGTTCCACAGTGGGTGACCCGGGACCGCCCCCCCCCCCCCCGCTCTTATTTTTCACGCTTAGCACCTTGTTATTTGGCATCATTTCAGGGTGCTGGCTGTTGTATCGATGTGATTTATCCTTCCTTTTGGCGCACCCCTTTTGGTGAGCAACCCTGGGAGTAGGGAGCTTCATGGTACATAAGAATATATATATATATATATATATCTAATGTTATATATAGCACGCATTATATTAATGTACACAGATAAATATGCCTTTTCTATACCAGGCGCCTGTTTATTGGTTTTCTCGTGGTCATGCGCGAGGGTGGTAGGAGGGGTATGTAAACGTAAACACTATTTCACAAGTATAGGGATGGGCAACCTTAATTCCCCCATAGAAGTTTGGCGGAAGTGGACATCCTTTTGGAGCAATGGTTTCCCATGCACGGAAAATCACTAGAATGGGTATACATTCTGCACTAAATGTATGGCGAGCTTACCTCGGGGTAAAAATGAGCTCATCAGCGATGCAAGTGCGTTTCTTAGGGGACTCCTTGATTGCTGCTCCTTCCTCTCCTTTCTTTCCCCAGATAGCTGAAAGCTATAGGGGTTCTAACTTCTAATAAAGAGTGGAAAGTGATTTGCGAGATTGAGGGCCGGGTGCTAGGGGGCATGCAGTTTGGGGTGCTGGTGGATTCTGCTTTCCAAGCTTGACGGCCGGGTGTTAGGGGGCATGCAGTTTGGGGGTGCTGGTGGATGCTGCTTTGCGAGCTTGATGGCCGAGTGCTAAGGGGCATGCAGTTTGGGGTGCTGGTGGATGCTGCTTTGCGAGCTTGACGGCCGGGTGCTAAGGGGCATGCAGTTTGGGGTGCTGGTGGATGCGGTTTGGGGTGCTGGTGGATGCTGCTTTGCGAGCTTGACGGCCGGGTGCTAGGGGGCATGCAGTTTGGGGTGCTGGTGGAGGGGCACGCAGCTTGGGGGGCTGGTGGATGCTGTTCGCGCGTAACGGTTCGTGGCTGGTGTATCGTCATGATGTTCCCAACCACGTCATGATGCAACTGGGGTCACTGCGATGCTGCGTTATGGTTTGTGGCTGTAGTGGCGCCGTGATGCTGTCAACATCAGGATGATGCTGATACGCTGTCACAAGATGGTTCGTGGCTGTATCATCATGATGCTGCCTTTACCATCAGCATGATGCTGTTTGCATCACCATGAGGCTGTCCGCATCATCATGATGCTGTCCGCATCATCATGATGCTGTCGAACTCATCAGAACTGTATCAGCATGATGCTTTCAACATCATCATTATGCTGCTGAACTCATTAGGACGTTGTATGCGCGTTTGTAGCGCACCATGCTCAGTGGCTGTGGTATCATCATGGTGCTGTCTACATCATCATGATAATGCTGCGTCATGATTCGTAGCCGTGGTGTGCTATCTGGGGTCTATGCTGGTGTAGTTTTTTTCTATTTCACTTGTGTTGGTTTGGTTCTATCCCTGATGTGCTGGTCGGTTAGCGCATAGGTCGAAAATGGGGTACCTCAGAAAGCGCGCACACAGACACACAACAATATTTTGCCACGGACTTGGCACAACTCAGATTGCAGCTTGTTGGTCGAGCTCTTGGACCTTCGAGTTGTCAGACAAGTTTTAGGAGCCACCCAGTCCAGAGGATGGCATATGGTGCACGGATGGGCGTGTTCTTCTTTCGAGAAAAGGAATGTATTGTTGGGTACAAGCCAAATCAAAGCCACTCATTTTGTGGGGTCTCGCACTCCAGACTGTTCTTGAATTCAGTGTGCATCCGATGCCAGGTGGACGTGAAAGGGGCTGAGGCGGGGTCGGGGGCTTGAAGAGGACTTCTAGGAGGACATCATTCAGGTGATTTAAATTTAGAGCTCTTTCAACTCGATGTTTTCAAAATTGAAGGCTTCTCCAAAGCGTTTGCAGCTTGCTTCCTGAGAAGAATGTGGACCCCTCTGGGATATGCAGAACCCGCGCATGGCAGCGGCACTTGCCAGCAAAATCTCTATTAGAGCCTGCGGAGAGGAAACGCAAACCGCCTTCTTTGGGGCATTTTCAAAGACTTTGCATCTTCGAGGGTTCCACAAAACGAGCGGTTTGAACACTTCCATTTGGGAATGGCAAGTCGCTTTAAGAACAGCTTGCGGGCTGTTTTTGACGGTGATTGAAGGGCCTTACATGTATAGCCCATCCACTGGAACCCAGCAATAAGCGTTTACAGGCTGCTTGCTGCTTTACAAGGGGGTCCTCAAAATCAGCTGGTTTTCCAACTGGCCCAAATGAGGATACTCCTTTTGGAGTGGTTTTAACAAGAACCAGCCCCCTTTTTTTTTGGGGGGGGGGTTCCCTTATTCCACGACACGCCCCCCAGCGGGCGTGCGCTAAACCCGGGACCCCATTTTGTTGGGGCGGTCTTTGGGTTTGCCTTTGAACCTTGAAAAGGGTCAACAACAAACAACACACACACACATGGAGGTGTAGTAGGGTCTTCCCCTTGGGTTTTCCTTTAAACCTACAAAAAAAAAGAAAAAACACCAAAAAACGCCGGCAACCCCCAAAAAGCCAAACCCGAAAAGGTACCCCGAAACCCCGCGGCACCCCTGCAACCCGGGCCTCAGGTGCCGTGCGCCTTTGGCACCGCCGCCTTCATTGAGAGCTTGCTGTTGCTAGGACCGGCCGGGGGAAGCGAAGCTTCGGCCGGTTTCTGTCCGGGACAAGACGGGGGGTTCGAAGATTCACCCCCGCCGTGTCTGCTCTGGCTTTTCAATTGCCTGGTTCCATAGATGTGTGTCTTTGGCGGCTTTTCTTCTGCCTGGTTCCAGAGGCAAATGAGGGAACGAGCGCGAGAAAAGCCCTCCCTGGCGTTCAAGGGATCCGCATGGCTTGCCAAAGCAACCTTGGACTCCCTGAGAACCAGCAAGTGTGTTCGTTTCTTCCTTTGAACTCCAAAAAGGGTACCCTCCAACAAGGCAAGAGAGATAGCAAGCCAGGGAAGATGCGCGTTCCTGTGAATTTGGAGTTCCTTCTGGTGGTTGGTTTCCTTTTTGGCTTCCCTTGGCCTATCCCAAGAAAGGCTTCAGCGGATTCAACCACTCCGAGCAATTCAGGATCTTTTTGGGGGAGCTTGCTTTGGGGGGGGGGGTGATAGAGGGGTGCAACTGTTTTCCATCAACCCCGGTTTTGGGGAGACCAAACTCTTAAACTGTAAACGTGTCAACCGTTTCTTTCAAGCACCTTCCAAGGGGGGGTCCATTTGTACCTGAAATGCCCTTGTACTACGATCCAATTTGGGTACCAATTGGCAGCCCTTGGAAGGTCCAAGACTTTGTTTTGGCAGTGCTGGTTCAGACCAAGGTTCAAGGCGCCAACTTTGCAGCTCCTGGATTTTGCAACCAGGTTGTCCACCAAGGCAGGCAACGGACCCAGGCGCATGGTCTACGCATGGTCTACATCGGGTACTACATCCAGCACTCCCCAGAAAACAGCCTTGATCACCAGGTACTCTGAGCTGTTGAGCCTGAGCTTACTCCAGGCCAGAACTCACGGCTCTCATGATCCTTTCATGTGGCAGGTACAGGCGGACTCCCCTTGAAAGTGATCAAGTCATAGGCCATGGGGATTGGAAATTAAACCCTACAGAGAGGGCCTCATTTGACACGAGGGGCTTGTTTGCCGCGACCATCTTCTGGGAATGCCCTTTTGGCGCCTTTGTGAGAACCCCTTGACAAAAAAGTCTCTTGGTCGCCAGATTGCAACCTTTTCTTTTCGAATAGCTTTTTTAACAATGCGATCCATTGTAATTCCAACTCCCCAAAGATGCAAGGATGGCCCAGGCCGGGGCCCTTTGCCAAGCCTGGAAGTCTTTTTACTGAGGGGCCTTTTCAAGAGGACAGTCATCTTCCACAACCCTCATGTCCGCTCCCCTGATTGTTGGAAAGAGGGTACACTGGGGGGTGTTGGATGGACCTCAAATGAGTAGCAGCAGAGACTAATCATCCACCGGCAAAATCGGGATTGACTTGGCCAACCGCATTACCCGATACTCGGTTAATAGGTCGTCCGTTGCTCAGATGCCAACCCCTAGCGTCCTTGAGGGAACTAGAGATGAAGATAACAATGTTTGGCGTTTTCCTGTTTTGAATGACTACCTTCAAATGAAAACTACCAACATTGTGAATTTTCTCTCCAACATCGGAAAGCCCATTTTGGAGATATGGGTGTGTCTTGAGGTGGGCAAAAGTGTAGCCGTAGGTGTGCACTTGGCTTAACTCAGAGTAAGGGTCCACTGGGAAACATTTTGGCTCAAGTGGACCCTTCCAGTCTTGTTTTGGGTGGCGGCACCCATAACGGGCCAGGCGCTCGTTGTGTTTTTTCACATATCCCCGCGCAGGTAATCGTTTTCGCCGGGGAGGGGGATGGGGTGTGAGGGTGGGGAGTGGGGGGGGGTAATAGCGGAGTTAAGGGAGGACTGCGTATTCTAGCTCAAACACACGTGAGTCCCACGTTTCGTTTTGCTCTTGGTTTGGTGATGCTCTTGCGTCTCGTAGGTCGTGCTCACGTCTTTGATACGCACGCAGTCCTGCCACAGTCTCCGCGCTTCTCAGTTTGTCCGCTTTGTTTGGACTCTTTGTTGGATCCCCTGACCCTGCCGAGTGACCCCTTACCACATCGGTTCGTTGAACTGCGCATCTCCTCTGGGTGCCAGTTTGCCGTTCCTTTGGCTAGTATGGCCCCCAATGCTGCAGGAGTCTTTGTCTCTTCCCTCTTCCGCAGCACTGGGTCTTGGCAGCCGGCGTGTTAGCGGGTTCCCGCGGATTGCTTGGCTTGCGCTTGCGCCCCGTTGTCCCTGCACCGCGTGGTGTTGACTTGCCGCGCCCCACGCTGCAACCCCCATGACTTCCTGCGAGCGCTCGCAAGCGCCTCCACGTGCTCTTTGCAGTATGTCAGCCAGAAACAAAATCCATGTTTGGGTTTTGTTTGGGCAGTTGGTGAGACAAGCGCTCGATATCTATTGCTCTGTTGTTTGGGGGGCCATACACGCTCACATCTAGGCAAAGCATGCAGCAAGGTGTGTTGCTAGCCTGGAGAGCGCGACAAGGTGCGAGCGTGAAAAGTCAGGACCTGAAGCTTTGGGCAGGTTCAGTGAGCCTGTCACAGGTTGCCTTTCGCCTCGGAAAAAACAGTCAAAATCTGACTTTTCGAGCGCCCTCTAAAGCCAAGCGCGCTCCGATGTATGCGGGCACCAGCGTGGCAGAGACAAGGCGACAATCAGGGTAATGTTTTCTCTTTTAAACGATTCCGCTTGCAAGATGCCCGCGGAACTCGTGTTGACTTTGCATGGCAGCCAGGTCATGCTTGGTCCGTCACATGTGAAACGAAACGTGACTTCAATACGTGGGCGGGTGAACTCATACATCCGGATCCCAAGTAGCGAATTGATCGATCCTGTCGATCTTCGCCTCCTTCCTTCCTCACCCATAGTGCCGGGAGGGCGCTCGGGGAGGTGGACGGATTCTCTGGGGCCAATCTTCCAATTTGGCACTAACCGCCTCACACGAAAAAAGGAGTGCGTTGTTTGAGGTTGTAAAGTAACTAGTAGCGCCAATGTGGCGCTTCGATGAGTTAAGGGGGCCCCCACAAAGAAGAAACCATATGGGAATCTGGGGGGTTCTTGAAACGCCACCGAGGATCATGGCCGGTTTCCTTTTGCTTTCAGCCAAGAGCCGGTTGCCCCCAAAAGAGCGACCCCTTGACTTCAAATGTGGGTTGATCAGGAATTCTGGCCCCCAAATGAGTGACCATGGGTAGAATGTCCCCTTTACTTGACAGGTCATTCATCTTTTTTGTTGGTTTTCTCGGATCATCGCGCTTTTGCCGGAGCTTCTGATCAACCCCAGCACAGTTCAAGCGGGAGATACAACCGCCCCCACCCCCCCCCTTGGGCTGGCGCGATTCGATCGGGCGGTGGACCCGGTCTGCTCCAGCCAAGCCGTGAGGATACCGGCACATGAACGGCAGTGGGCAGCCCATCAAGTGCTGCGCGCCGGCGGCCGCCAAGGCCATGTACCTGGCCCGGGCACTCGGATGGGTCAGATGGGCGGGGCGGCAGTTTCCGGATCGTGGAGGGACGGGAAGGGCTGCTGGCTGTAGGCATCGATTTGGTAGCGGGTTTTCTGACTTCAACACTTTTCCGGGAAACTGGATGTGAAACCTTGGTGCAGAGGGGTAGACATTATCCAGGTTTGTTGCCATGTGTTTACTCTTATGGTTTTGGCGAGCTGTTTTTGTTGAATTGCATGGATATGTCTTTTGAGCAACACAGAGTTGGTGATTGTTTGTTGATCCGTTTCGTTGACCATCTGCAAGAAAGACAACACCTTATTGGCGTTGTTTCAGGGGAATGACACATCCCAACGAGGGCTCCCTTTGCCCCTGTGTGGCTCGTAAGTGTTTGTGAGGAAAGGACTAGGACAGAACACCGTGGGTGTTGGCCCTATCGCCCCTCGTTGAAGGGATTTACTACCATCTGACAGGGACACCTTAAAGAGGATTTTCATGACATGCTAACTACCACCTTTCCTCATGGCTAATATTAATCCCTGATTGGTAGCCCCACCCGTTTACTTGTTCACTTCCTCTCGTGGCTAATGCTGACCGACCACTAGGCACACACTGTTATGTATTCCCCTCTTGTACTTACGGCTAGTGTTGACCCTGATTGAGTAGCCAACCCAGTTGTTTCCTTTTCTCCATGGCTATAAGCTGGTGGGTAGGGAGCACAAGGAGCTGTGGTGTTCGGACTCCTTTTTCAGAGCCAAGGAGCTACCAAATGTTGATGCCATAAACCCCGCCCAAGGCTGTCCTCGTTCAGTTCTTCCATGGGCTTGCCCCAGTATAACTCGGGGGTAAACCTTGAAGCGACGTCCACGCCTTGGGTCCCGCACTTTTTTCCCGTAGGTTTGGAGTCTGCTCCTTGTTTTAGACACATGAAACAGAGTCGAGTCAGATCTTATTCTTGGAATACCCCAGATGTGGGTCGGCGCCGTAAATTGGGTCGCGCCGTTGTTTTCAAGCAAGCGTTCGTTCACAGGGGTGCGGTTGACTCTTTTTGGAAGAAGCCGTGGGTGTGGGTTGGACACTTCCGCCCGAAAAAGAGGGCGCCCTTTGGTGGGTCGTGGCTGGAGTAGCTGGTTTGCGGCTTAAACCTTTCCCTGCATGCCGTAGGGAATCAACAAAACAGGTTCAGCTTCGGCTGGAGAGAGGGGCAGAGGAGCCAAGACCCTCCTTCGATTTTGCGGTCACAGAAAGTCGCAATTTGGAAGCACTTTCACCTTTAGAGAGGATTCAGAGGTAAACCACTTGGGTTTCTTCACTTGGAACCCGGTCGAACTTGCCCGGTTGCCCTGCTCTTAGGTTTGGGTCGGGCCTTGCTTTACCAAACCTCAAACTCCGAAGTCAGTGGTCATTTCATGCGTAGATGGCAAATACTTTGCGATCTTCCCAAATGTGTCTCTTTGCGGCTTCTTCGGGGAATCATTGCAATGGCTGGAATGTTGCTCACAGACCCACTTTAATGGGAGTTACTGAGTGTTTGTTTTTGGCTGGGGTTCATATTAAGTTTCAGGGGAGTGTGTTCTTTGATGCCCCGCGGGTGGCTCAACCCAGACACTTCCAACCACATGCGTTTCTGTGAAATACTTGTAGTTTGGTATCACAGGGTCATTTGCCACATTGTCCTGAACTGGGCATTTTCCATGGGCTCGCGGATGGCGCTTGCTCAGATCAACTTTTTGCACCACCAGCACGACCGACTGGCTGGGAGCCACGGGGAATTGTCGAGTGGCGACTGACTTTTGTGTGTGGGGAGGAGCCGGGGGGGTGGAGGAGCTGGAGTGCTTCTGTCCTTCCAAGACCGTTCGGCAGCATTTGTGGTGTGCGTGTCTTTTGTTGAGGATACCCCTTTTGGAGTTGTGCTGAAGAGAAACCGAAAGGAAACTTCGGCATTTTGCGGGTCCCCGATTTCAAGGCACGCCTATATGTTACACTTGGCTAACGGTTTAAACATTGTTATGCCCGGTTAACTCAGGACCCACTGCTCACCCAAGTTTTCCTTGTCAACGAGCGTTGAATCCGTGGCTGTGGGCATTTCGGGAGAGGCGGTGAGGTGCACTCAAGGCTCAGACTTGTGGGGGCTTGTAGGCTGTTCTTTTTTTGGGGGGGGCTGACAATCATGGGAACAAGGGTAGAAAATGGTTTGGAGTGCCGCTTGGTTTTCCTTTTCCAGGCACAAATGTCTACCCTGACAAGGTTACGGGAGCACACCGTCAGCTTTTTGACCGTCTTCTCACATAGCCAAGCGGCCTTTGGACCTTTGAGTTTTGCAGCGGTTGGCCTATTAGTGGTCTCAAGAGGTTGGCCTCTCACTACCAGGTTCCGGCAAGTGACTTGTCCTTGAACCCTTTTGGGCGCCGAAAAATACCCATGTCTGGCCACAAGAAGCGAGCGCACGGGTGCAAATGGCCCTCTGGCGACAGGCAAAAGAGGTGGTGTGGCGGAGGGAGCAAGAGAAGGCAGCGGCCGAGCGAAGCTCAGAGGGCTCCACTGGGCTGGGGAAAGTCCAAGAAGCCGGCCAGGTCGCCATCTCTTTGGGCCCAAACCCAGGGTTTTCGGGGCGAACCAGGCAACGACCCCAAAGCGACCCTCTTCGTCGCGGTTCACGCGGTGGACTCTTGGCACGGGAATGCCCTTGACCTCCAATGTTCCCTGACGCTGAATTGCCCAAAGCGAATCGAGCTGTTCACCTAAAGCTGCTTTGGTGTTCGCCTATGTGTTCAGCTCCAAGTCAGAAGAGAAAAGGGACAGTTGATTTGTCTCAAACCCAGATTGCAAGAGACTTGGGGTCAGCCCATAGACATAACAGCTACTTGTACTTGGCTGCCTTCCCCTGGATTGACAGAAGTCCTACCTTTGTTGGCGGTGGCTCGAACATCGCATCTTTGGGCCGATGCGTTTTAGAGGAGCTCCGATGGATGAGTTTCTCCTTGGTGTAAGACTTTTTGAGGGGACATATGGCTGTGGCTCAAAAAACCGGTACCAAAATGGAACTCTGGTAAGTGGAAACATGGACCAACCCCTGCGTAACCCCTCTGTTTAATTTTGAGCCACACCCATATTCCAGGAACCCAGATTCTTGCGTGCAGGCCCATCGGCAACCTGTCAACAGAATCCACGCCAGGCACCAGGTAAACGGTTTGCCTTGGTTTGCGAATTCATCCTCCCAACTGGCATTTGTCCATCATTTAGGACGGCCATCCCCTCTTTCCAACAACCCATGGAAAAGTGGACCAAGGGCTCCCCCCCCCCCCAACAAATGGAGAGTAGTCTTCCAAAATCCTGTCAGCTCCCATGATTCCGCCAGTTGTATAACGAGCTGGGGGTACTACGAGCTCACCACGACAAACAAAGGTCTTTCACTTCGGGACTCAATTCAGCCGAGTCTCCACATTCTCCACAACCCTCACAGTTCCCACAATCTTCACAGTTCCACAGTCCCTGCGTCCCTAGGGTAAGATTTGGGTAGGGTTACGCAGGTGTCAATCTTTGGTTCCATTTACCAAGGTGCCATTCTGGTTTACTCTCCCACCAGCGAACATGAATGTGCACAGACCCCTGTAGAAAGACGACTTTCCTCCTGGAAAGGGCCTTTTTTCACCTCCATGTTAGTTGGTGGGAGGGTACCATTATCATGGTTGTTGTTGGGAACCATTTTACATTTTTGCTTATTGTGGTTTAGCGGTTTAGAATCCCCACTCAACTGCTAATAATACTTTTTGTTTTTTGCTCCCCGTCCAACGTCCACCAACTGATGGCTACCTTTTTCCGAGCGCCTCGCGCCATGTCTTCGGCTCGTTGTCGCTCCGAGGCCGAGCAGGCGGCCACGGTGCTGGTGCGGCCCCGCAGCCCTCCGCCCGCTCCCACGCCCAAGGCGCGGGGCAGCTGAGACTTTTGTTTTGTTTAATCTTTTTTTTTCTCCCCTTCTTTTTTTTGCGGAGGTCTCAGGGGGGAAAAACGTGGACGGTTTCATTCTCACTTCCTGAGGTCCTGGCCTGGACTTTTCAAGCATTTTTTGGGTTTTTTGAGCAGGTTGGTGCACCATTTTGGCGGTAAATGAACAGTCCGGACCTTTTCTGGCCAATCCACTTAGGAAGTCAGGCGTGGGGGTTCCCTTGGGCAAAACAGGGACTGGTTGTGTCAACAGTTTTTTTCGAACCCTACTACACCTGCATGTGTGTGGTTTGTTGTTGACCCTTTTTAGATGGGTTTAAAGGCAAACCAAGGAAGGCGGAAATCCATCTTGGTCCAAGTTCCTGTAGACCCAACTCGCACGGCGTAGGCGCTGGTGATTCCCAGGGTGTCTGCCATGAACAAGATGGTGGGCGCTGCCCGGAAGGCGAGCGGCCGACGTGGACGCCACCGTTCGCTGGGAAACTCCCCTCGGGCCCTGTTCGCGTCACCCCAAGGTGGTTGGTGTGTTTGTTTTTCAGGGGTACCCATTTTGTTGTGTTGAAGGGAAGCCGAAAAGGAGTGCGCCCATTTTAAGGGTTCCCTTATTTCTGGCACATGAGGTCGACGCAGGCACCCAGGGGTGACTTGATTGTCCGAATGGGGTTCAGAATCGCAGGGCGGCTCGTTGTTTACAAGGTCAGTATGGGGGTCAGTCCCAACCACAAATGGGCATGTGTCGAAATCGGGGCCGCTGAAAAGGACGGTTTTTGTCGTGGTCCCGTTTTGACCAACCGAAGGCGTCGCCTCAAAGAAGCACACGCACATGCCAAACTGGGTGCGGCTAGGCTTTGATTCAGGCGAGGGATCTCTCAAGGGCTGCCCTTCAGCAGCCCCTCAGCGAATGTTTTTCTTCGATGGCTCACTCCCCGAGTTGGGAAGACCATTTGGGTGGCAAACAGAAAGTTGTGTTTTTTTTGTTTACTTTTTTTGGGCCATACTCGGGAAGTGAGGCTGGCAGGTGGTTGGATCGAATGACTTTGTCAAAAAACCTCTGGGGAGCACATCAATGACCAACGTCCACGTTCTGATATGTCCATTCACGTGGCGTTCACGGATTTCATTTGGCAGTCGTATGCAATTCCTCGACCATGTCACGATGGCCCCGAGTCAAAGGATTCTATTGTGTCCCACCAGTATTGCTCGCAGCATTGCAGTGACAGACATAGCACCAGACACACCAGGCCAGCCTTTCCCACATAACGTGTCTGCTTCTTAGGGTGACACAGCATCCCCAATGCAGAAGGTGCAAACCACTTCTGGGTGTGTGGGTGTTTTGAGGGTACTCATTGTGGGGTCCTTGGGATTCCCTTATCTTGAGACAAATCCGTGTCTGAAATCAGCTTCTCTGATGTGCTGCCAAAACTGGCATTGCCATCGTGCGATTTTTCTTTGCTGCGATGCGAGGTCCATGCGGAACAGATGTGTGATCGTCTGGTTAATCGGGGTCATCACGGGGTCACCAGATTGGGGGGCGCAAACCAAACAGTGGGTATTCTGCTTTCGTAAGGAACCAGTCACAGCCCTATCTCTAAAATGTTTGGGACCCCAAATTAGGGCACCCCTAAAATGGTCTGTTTCCTTTTAATTGTCCTTCCACGCCCGGTCCTTTGGGGCGTTCATCGCGCGCATCGCGCGCATCGCTCGGCTCGGTGAGGTGCTGCGTGCCCAGCGGGAGGCGCGGTCCAACCAGCACCGCAACGCGGTGGTCACGGCGGTGGACATCCCAGGCGTGAGACATCCCATGGGGCGGAAATCGTCTCCCCTTCAAGTTGACCACTTTGTTGCATTTTGCTTGGATGTTAGGACCTTAGCCTCTTGCCAACTACTGGGTTTTCCATTAAACCACTAACAGTTAAACTTTTAGCAGGGGAGCAGATTTCGCAACCGAGTCCATAGGTGGCTTCTTAGGTGGGTAGAGCTAGATGAAGCTAGATTGGTTGTATCCCAGGAGGTTGGAAATTGGGAAGTTGTTTTCGTCAAATTGACTCCCCAATTGACCTCCAGCTTTTTGGGTTGGAAATAGATAGAACTGGTTTATGGCCCATTTGCCAGGGCCATCTATTTTATCAAAAGGACGCCTATGTTGACCTCTATAACTTGCAGAATCCATGCGAATTTTGCAGGAGAGTAGTCTGGCTTGAGCGTTTATGAGGAATATTCTCACAACTGGTGGACATAACTCGCACCTGCATGATGTTGACCAGCTGGTCCCTAATTACAGTTTCTGCCATAGTGGGAATGCGTCAAACTGAGGGACTGTTTTGACTGTTTGGTTTTTCCTTTTATTTTCCCTTCAAAGCAAAGCTGGGCAGAATATGTTGCAACAACCAGACCCCTGGTTCCCTAAAAAGGGGAAACCAACGGGAGAATCAGTCAGAATCGGCGGAACAACAAAATCAGTCAACTTCCCAGTACCAATCAGTCGACTTCCCACCTGTCTTTTGATAGGCTTCCCTTAAGAGTCCCACAAACATCAGGGTACCCTTAGTTGGTGTGTCAGCCTAGTGGCTTGGGGATTTCTATAGATGGGAGGATCGACACCCCCAACCAAAACCACCAGACCAGACCAGACCAAGAAGTAGAGGGAAGCTGAAACCGCGGGGAGCTCGGTCCTTACGTGCCCAAAGCGGAGCTCAGATACGGACGCCGGGACCTCGCCGAGCGGGAATTCCAGCCCCTCCCAGTCGAGCTCCAGATGTGCGCTGGAGCCAGGCGGGGGGTTTGAGCGCGTTGCTCTCATCGTTGGACAGGGGGAAATCCCCCGAAAGGAGCGTTTTCGTCCCGGGCTTTGGGGCTTCCCAAAGCCGAGGAATATGCTCTATGTGAGCTCATGCTTGGAGTTTCCTCCCTACAGTCCCCTTTTTCTGAATGGGTACGTGTCAAAGGGGGGGACTTCCAAACATATTGGTTTTCCTTGTGGTTTGCCTTTTGACCAAGCTGAAAGGGGTACGTACCGTCAAGTAGAAGCACACATCAGACAGCTGTGTGGGTGGACTTGGGGAATGTAAGTGGGGATGAAAAGCCCAAAGATGTCTTGCAAATGGAAATTGACTTTCGATCAAGCAAGCGGTCGAAGCCGGTCTTGAGGGCACCGGGGAACGTTTGCCCGCGCGCGCCTGCGCAAAAAAAGTTGAGCCGTTTTTAGGCTGTCAGGCCTTTCCAGAAGAGAAACGCCCCTGCAGTTGGGCATGTGGACCAACCAAGTACAACCCTTTGATGTATACATTTCAAAAGACACACTTGTGTCTGTGTATGTGTGTCAAACATAGGGATTCGGACGCCCAAATGGCCATCATTTTACCTCTCGACACAAACATGTTGGTTTACAGGAGAATCCAAAGGACACCCACCATTTTGAGGGTTCCCTTGCCCCCCAATAAGTCAGCTGCGCCCAGAGCTCTCACGCCCGTGCGAACTTGAGTGAGTGAGTGGGTTCCCTGGCTCACGCATCCATGAGGCGGGCCTCCGGGCGCAGGCGAAGGGACGGGGGATGATGGCCATAACGAATGCCGGGGGGGTGGTTTCAATTGGTTTTTCAAAGCACCTGGCTTTGTTCCCTCTACACCAAAGTAGTTCCCGTGCCAAGTTTTAAGCACCCCACTTTTTGGTTGCCGCTTGTATTATTGTTTTTTTTCTTCTCTTGTTGCTGAGCTTGGGGTGATGTTTCAATGCTATGGGGAGCCCTGTGTGTCTCAAGTAGTTTCTGGCATGCCTCCAACCAAAAAGGCCAAACTGGGATATCTTCAAGCAAAGACACCCACCAGTGCCACGCCCCAGTTTACTGGTGAGAATGTTGGATCTATGCTCTTGGCGACCCCGGTACTGCAAGGGCAGGTCTCAAAGCCAGCAGCTTGCTGGTTGCAACCTACTCACGGCCGCGCAAATGCCGATTGCGATAAACAAGGATCACAAGCTGGGCTCTTGTCAGTACAGGGAAGAGAAAACAGCATCTTGCGCTCTCCAGCATGATGTTCTTTCTGCGTGCGCAAGAGGAATTTCAAGCGCAAGACAAATTTTCTGGACCACCAGTGGCAGGATCGACGCTGGGCTCCTTTTGTTTTTTCTTTTCCTGGTTTTTGGCATAAGCCACAGATTCGTGAGGCTACTCTTGCAACCGTGTTCGGAAGGGGCAGACCAATGGACCGGGCGATGTTGATGTCGTCTTGTTCCACGTCTCAGTTGGAAGACCGGAGGCCGCAGGGCTGCTTTGGGTTTCTCAATAAAGCACTCGTTTGCTTTGCGGCAGCAGGTTTGAAGTTCCCCCAATGCCGGCCAAGGGCTGAAACCAAGATGGAGGATGGCAGCATCTACTTTTCGGCCGATTATAGGTGTGAAGCCCTCAAAAGCAGCCTAAGCCCCAACCTCTTTCTGAGGGGCTTAATATCTCGTGACTAGTCAGTGAGGTTTGTTTTTGGAGGGACCCTGTTCGGTGTGACTTTTGAAGGGACAAAGGCACCATGGCAAACAACAAGGGAAGGACCTTGGAAGAGCAATGGAGCCGTACTCAAACCCGATGAAGGTTAGTAGAGGACAGGCCTAGGTAGGCGACGTTAGCGCTTGAAGGATTCATCAGGCCACTCCGGCGGCCACTCAGCAGAAATCTTTCCCTGAAAAGGAACGCGGGCAATTGGGGAGTAAGGCGGGGGGATTTGGGTTCCGTGTCCCCAACCAACACCGCAAACGTTGTCAGTGCAATGAAACTTCCAGACCAAGGCAAACAGGAATCCAGGAAGCCAACCAGATCTTGGGACCCACAGATTTCAGTCGCATTCACATCTTGTCCTGCGCGCTAGGCCCCGAGCCTCCGCTCAGCAGCAGGGGCAACGTGCCTCCAAAGGAGCGGCAGACGCGAGTTGGTTTCACCTTTGAAGCGCGCCTCGCGTGCAGGTTGGTGGTCAGCTTCTATATGGGTATGGGGCAAAACTAAACCACCAGGTTTTAGTCATTGTTTCCGTTGACCAGGGTGCCATTTTGGGAAATTGCCTATTTTTGACCCACAGCCATATATACATATGTATATACATATATGTATATACTGTTGCAATTCATCTAGATATGATGATCTGCCTGGGGTTGTCTTCCAAATAAGTCCAAATGAAGTCCAAGGCCGTACAAGGGCAAGCAGGGCGAGGAAGGGCTAGTGGGGGCCAATGATTCCCGGGCCCCAGTGGCCAGTGACCAGGAAGTTGCCCAGTTTTGGACTCAGTGCCTTTCGTCTTGTTTTTGAGGGCGCCATTTCTTTTAGTCTTCAAGGGACACCGAAACGAGAATCATAGGGACACCGAAAGGAGCATCATAGGGACACCGAAAGGAGCATCATAGGGACACCGAAAGGAGTATCATAGGGACACCGAAAGGAGCATCATCGGGACACCGAAAGGAGCATCATAGGGACACCGAAAGGAGCATCATAGGGACACCGAAAGGATCATCATAGGGACACCGAAAGGAGCATCATAGGGACACCGAAAGGAGCATCATCGGGACACCGAAAGGAGCATCATAGGGACACCGAAAGGAGCATCATAGGGACACCGAAAGCAGCATCATAGGGACACCGAAAGGAGCATCATAGGGACACCGAAAGGAGCATCATAGGGACACCGAAAGGAGCATCATAGGGACACCGAGAGGAGCATCATAGGGACACCGAAAGGAGCATCATCGGGACACCGAAAGGAGCATCATCGGGACACCGAAAGGAGCATCATAGGGACACCGAAAGGAGCGTCATAGGGACACCGAAAGGAGCATCATAGGGACACCGAAATCAGCATCATAGGGACACCGAAAGGAGCATCATAGGG